AGTAAAGTTCTGTTTTGAATGAATACACAGGCTTGGAGAAAGAGTGCCTTTTGACCTGATCATACTCTGTGGTGTGTTATTATTTTAGTTTGACTACTGATGGGGAAAGCAGCAGTTGCAATAAAAGGGGTTTATAGAGAAGCCCATGCTGCGAGTCTTTGGCACAATATAGGGAATGATACAGGACACTATATTCCCCAGAGCAGGTACAATAATGAGCCCCCCAGATTAATTAGAGCCTGAGGTGGCTGTAGGGTGTGGAGACAATCATATAATGTGTCACGATCACTCTGCCCTATAGCTCGAGTGATTTGATGTGAAATAGTAGCAGCTGGCTGCAAATGTACGAAGTGCAAGTGGGCAGCAGGTGGTAATTCCAGTCTTGTTTGCCAGATCTTTGCAGGAATATGTCAGCTTGTCCAGCAAGGTCAGGAGCAAAAGCAGACTTTAGTGCTTCTGCTATGAGAGGTAAAGTAGGTAGGCGATAATTTGCTCACATCCTGATTTATTACCATGTTATAAATAAGCCAGGATATGTTAAGTGCTATCAACTGAGCAGTTGCTGCAAGTATCCATAGCAAGCATCATATTATGCAAACTTCCAGCACAGATGGCCTGATTCTGGAGAAAAGTGTGTTATGTTAGGGTACAGTCAAGCACCATGTCTTGCTGGGGCTTATCACACAGACCAAGAGCTGCAGCAGCATCCTCTGTGACAAATGGACAAGCAGACTATAGCCAGCGTTAATCAGGTTTATGATGCTACACAAGGATAACATTTGATTCAGTTCATTACCTCACTGAAAGCCAGTGTAGTGCAGTGGTTAGGAGTGTGAGACTGGGACTCAAGTGATCTGGGTTCTAGTCCCTGCTCAGCCATGGAACCAACTGAGTGACTTTGGGTCAGTCACAAATTCTCAGCCCAACCACCTCACAGGGTTGTTTTTGTTGGGATAAGCTTGAGAGCAGCAGGGAGAGAATGATGTAAGCCACTTGGTTATAAACAAAAAGCTGGATATGAATCTAATAAATAATTTACCAGAAACCTTGCAGCACCTTCTTGAATTGCAAGCTGCCTCACTGGCACTGGAACTATTTTTATTCCTTACTGTCAGGGATGAATCATAGGCAGATCTCAAAAGTCATCTAGAATCCAAAATCTGGGAGCCAGACATTGAAGCATCAGTGAGCAACATAGCTAGGAGTCTGTGCTGAGGACCATTCATGAGCACACCAAAACCAGGAAGACTCAGCCCATGGAAGAAACACCCAGGCTGCCTAGGCCCAACCAGTCCGCAGCTTAAATACTTCACTGACAAGCTGTTTGAAGCTGCAGATTTTATAGCTCACCAAATGGGGCACATACAGAAAGTTCCCAGTTCTAGTCCCTACAGCTCCTGATATCTGAGGCAATATGCAATGGAGGTAACCATGTTCAAAAAGAAATACACATGGAGAATAATCTTCAAGAAAAATAACATTTTTTAGCTTCCCCAAATAATCTTTTCTGCCTTAGGAAAATGTGCAGGAAGAAACATGCATTTAAGTTTAACCGAATTCTGCGTGGTCCTTAATTTTTTGGCAAAGTGCTATCCAAATTTCACTTTTCTGTTCTAGTATTTGTAAAGAATTGCATTTGCAAACTATTTGTATATGCAGTGTAAATTCTGCACTTGAGCTTGTAGTGGTTAATAGAGAGATCTAGGATGCTTGCGGATGGATGGCTCCTAGGATTTCCAATAAGAAGACATTGTGCACTATTCCACTTTGTCTTCCTTAATAATGGTTGTTTTTGTGGAAAGTTAATCAACCCAAAGCAATGGAAAAACAAAGGGTTCTAAGTGGAAGGAGACATTATCTGGGTCCCCCATAAATTCTGTAAATGAGGCAAAGTTATAAATGTTAGAAATGTTATAATAATAATAATAAAATAATAAAAAGTGATAGGGTGGCCATATGTTCTGTTTTACAGAGGATGGCCCTATGTTTGTGGAGCTGTCCTGTCAACCCTGGTTTAAAGAGCCATAGGAAATGTGGTTTCAGATTGTATGGTAAAACCTGCAGTTGTTAATAACCTTCTGACTCCATATAAAAACCAGAATAAGTGTAGTTTATAGTTGTAAGGAAATTTAAAAGTAAAGCAGCACCAACTGGATGACATCCACCTAGTCTACCTGTCTGTCTCCAATGGTGATAAGCAGATGCTTCCAAAAATTCACAAACAAGATGTGAAGCTGATACATCCACCCCTTATTGGTTGAGACCCGTGTTACTCAAAGAAATACTGGCCAAGGACATGAGGGAGAGGTTATCTTTCATGCCACATAGACCTTGATAGAGCTATCCTCCACAGATACAGTTTTTTAAAGCAATCTAAGCATGTGGCCATCAGCACATCAAGATTTAAGTTAGTTGTGTTTTCTCAGTTTAGGGTGAGAATTCCTGAGTTACATATTTGTACTTTTCAAGGTTTCAGTTTTCAGAAACTGATCTTGTCATAAAATATGTTTATTTCCCCCTAGAATAATCCTTTTAAATAAAAATATTAAAATCAATCTAAGTTCTTTTTATTTGATTTTGGTCTTTATTCCATAAGAATTATAACTTAGGAAAGAAATGAGCAATGTTCAGAGAAAAGCTAATGAATTGCAGACATAAAATAAGCTTTCTTGTGTTATCATAAGAAAAACAGTGACTATTCTAAATTCCAAAACAAATATTCTACAAGAAAATAAATACAAATTTCATAAAATTGTTTTGGGGTGTGTGCATTTAAGAAAGAAAGTGCATTTTAGATACATTTGTAATGTATCTTTCCAGTATCGGGAAAGAAGATTGTTCTAAATTTTGGGGAACAGTGCAATCTAATATGTGCCTATGCAGAAGTAGATCCCACTAAGTTGAAGGAACTTATTACCAGGTCAATGTGTACACCATTATAGAAATATGTGCTTTGAAGATAATAAATATCATAAAGTAAACAGAAGTAAGTGAGGAGTGGTCAGCCAAAGTTAATGGAGTTATATGAGCAAATTATAGGAAAGGATGGAATTACTTTTTAAAATATCTTAAAGAAGAGGTTTCTTCTCCTGAGAATTGGTTTTAAGAAAAATACACATTTAAAAAATATTTTCCAGAAAAAATAGGCTTTGCTATTTACACTGACCTCAGCAGGTAGAGGAGATAGAAAGAAAAATGCAGCAGCATCTGATTGGATAAAAGCTCAGGGCTTTCTGTATAATAATTTGCCCTGTAGATTATCGGAGTACATTTCAACCATATTGCAAAGGTTGCTGGCCTTTGCTTAGAGAACTGTTCTCTAATCCACCTATCACCCTCAATCTTCCAGTACTGGAAAGACGTAAGACATTGGTGCAAAATTCTTCTCTTGGATCTGATAACCTTTTCTGTTGATGTAAAAGTATTCCAATATAACAGTGAGGTAACCACTGTAGGATGTGAGAGATGAAATTAGTTCTGGGCATAGTAAATGTTGGCCCCAAGATATTTTTTTTAACATGGTTCAAATCTAGCAATGGTTTTATGTTCAATATATCATTGTATGTATATATATGGTCAGTTTGTGTACTTTGTGTTGCATGGTAAAGAGAACCTTCTAAATGCAGTGAAAGTATCTGTCAATTCAGAAGTGTTTGTCCACATAAATCTATAGACAGAACATGCCCTTGAATGGTTTTTTCCCCCAACCTGGGCTTCCCAGAATAGTTGGTCTACACCTGCCATCATCGCTAACCATTGGCCATGCTGGCTGATGTTGTGGTTTGTAGTCCATCAACACCTGAAGCCCTCAGGTTAGAAAAGCCTGCTCTAAAAGAAGGTGTCTTCCTCCTGCATTGATTAATAAACTAAATACTAATACATTTCACAGACTTGTTACCTGCAAAAATGTTTTATATTTCATGACCATATTCTGTCCGGGAGCTCTCCGTATATGTACGAAAGAAAAGGAAATCTCTAACCTGCCATCTTTGGCAGCAAATCTGAGGACAGAGATAAGAGCCTACTAAATTTCATGTCTGTTATTAAACTGTTGTTCTGTGTGACGTTTTGTGTTGTGTTATTTCGGTGCTGTGTGTGTGTGTGTGTCCCTAGGGTCTGCCTGGCTTCCCTACAGTTGCTGCCCTTCACAGTAATCAGATCCTCACCATCAAGGTTTGTGGATGACATGTACCAACTGGCCAGCCTTTCCTTATTGGTGTAGAAGTGCCATGAATACTTAGCTTGCCTTAGGGAGCTGGTCATTCCACTGTATGCATCATGGGCCCAATTGTCACTGTACTTACTCTTCCAATGCTGTTGTTTTGCCCTGGGTTGAGGCTGTATGCTACTTCGTTCTTGCACTCTTGAAGAGCATTGAATTTTTCAGGAAAAAATGATCTTACTGTGATTTGCTTGTAAAAGGCTCCCAACAATGCATATTTTCATCAAATGCATCCGTCTCAAATCCTGAATGATAAATGAATCAGTTTATTTCACCCTTGTGGTTTCATGGTTGCCACATATACTTTGAATGATTCAAGAATTGAGCAGAAATTATTCAAGTCATGCACGGACCAGCAAACTCAGGTATGCCATTTTAATGGCACAATTCTTCACGGCACAATATGCTGTTTGGAAAGTCTGACTAAAGCTGAACTGGTGCTTTGTCTCTTGGAATCTTTGCTCATGAACCAGAATAAAAGTGTTCACTGAGGAAAATTAAAAATCACAGTTAGAAGAGTCGTCCTGGCTTGTGTTGTCTTTAATTTCATTAAGTGATAAGCAATGAAGATGCTACCTCCTATCTTCTAAATTTATATGGTCACTCTTTTAAAACAAGGCATAGATTCTTTTGGCAGACACAAGCACCAGTTGGTTATCATATTTGCCACTGCAAGTCTAATGTGTACATTTCTATTTCTTTCTTGGGGCCTTCTGATGTCTATTCTTCAACTCTTTCACCTCTGAACTTCAACCTTTGACTTCACCTGCCTGATCAGATGGTGTTTCCTAAAATCAATCATGGGTTTCTCTCTGCTGATCAGCAGCTCATTAAACGCCGCCTCATTAAGGTAGTGCTTAATCTCTCTCTGCACCTTTTGCCCTGCTTTTGCTTGCAGCTGATTGCTGAATTGTAAATATTGCTGAGCCACACAGTTGTTAATGAAATGAATTTTTGTTTTTTGGAAAAAGCTAGATAAAACTGCACCAAGCTTCAGTATAAACTGCATAATTAATTTTATCAACTGTTTTCTACTAGCTTTTTACTGGAAACTGGACAAACCTTACTATTTTTGAAGGGGTGATTGTGATTTAACAGTTCATTACCCAGCTAGATTAAATTATTGCAATGTGGATATATTGAAGCTGTAAATGTTGTTTCTCAATTGTCACTATAAAATAACTGCTAAAAAGACATTAAATTTATTGCTATTTGATTTGTAGCTTGAAAAGTACTGTGCAGCTTTTCAGCAAGGTGGTTATATTTCAGTGCCCTCTTAGAACTCAGTCAGTGTTCGGTTGCTGAGTCTCATGAACCAGTTTTGTAAGCTGCCATAAAAGTTTTACAGCCTCTACATAAGTCTAATCATTCACCCTTTAATACAAATATGGCAAACCAGTAAACATTGCCCCCTCTGCAGAAATGTGTCAGCAGAGTTTTGAAGTAACCCTTTATGAAGAGTATTCAAGGGCAGAATCAAGCTTCACAGCTGTGCTCAACCTAGCTTGGGTCAGTGTACTTGGACACACTTCCTCAGCTGCTCTCTGGGACCAAGGGGCCCTTCTGTTGGATTGTGTCCTGCACATGTAAAAGGGCTCCACTGAGAACATCATCTCTTCTAGGCCTGGTCTGTGGATTGGCTTGGATTCTGTCAATGGATCCAAATCCTTGGGTGCCATCTCAATCAAGCAGTCAGCTTTCATCTTCAGAGACAACCTGAGCACATTGCAATAATCCAAACAGGGTGTTAGAAAAACATGGACAACTGAAGCCAAATCCCAGCTTCAAAGGAAAATCCACGAGGATCCACTCATAGTGTCAATAACTTTTAGAGGGATGGAAAGTCTAAATTCAGTTCCCTCTCTTGTCCATACAGGTGACTGGTGCTATGTTGTGCTATCAAAGATGACAGCAGTTCATCCTGATGTGTGTTAAGCTTGTATACATAACTGAAAGATACTTGAATCACAAATATGTTTGGATGTTTTGTCCTTTTATGAACTCTTCCCTTGAAAATTGGCTCTTTTCCATTATCCTAAGTTTTGTGCAACTGCTAAGATCTGCAAGCTGTCTACTAATGCTAATTTTACTGGTTGGTGTTCAGGGTGATCAAGGACAAGCTGGACCCCCTGGGCCTCCTGGGCCTCCAGGTCCAAGGGGCCCTCCTGGAGATACTGGCAAAGATGGCCCCCGAGGAATGCCTGGGGTACCGGTGAGTCAGTCATCAGATACATTAACATTATGGACTTAGAATTATTTTATCTGATTGGGAAATTATCTTCACTTTATCAGTGGAAAAAAATATGCTGGGATATGGAATGTTACCTGCATAAACTGTGGATATGCAGTGAGGGCCAAAATAATACTTAGATGTCCTGTTTATCTGCTTTCAGTAAAGAAGTCAGTTTATCTGACTTTCTGAATAATGTTATATTGTTGTCTCACATTCATTGTACAGGATAGCAGCTTTGCAATCATGGCAAAAATATTTCTACAGCTCTTCAATTTTAATATCCTTAAAATTAACCTGCACTTTAATGTTATTTCTATTTCCTGAACAATAACTAACACTAAGATGAAATCATAAACCAGAAAATAATTGAAGAAAAGCACTGAAAGCCATTCTAGTTTTTTTTCTTCCTTTCTTTAATTCTTCTAGTTGAACAGTATTGTATTCTTTGAGTAATCTTGGCTCATGAAAATGTTTCTTTTTTAAATGGTGAAGATAAATAAATATACTTATGAATTTTCAAGATTTTTAATTTTCTTTTCCAGAGTTCATGACTGTTGTTTGAAATCCTAGCTCCTTATAATACCTTTCCTGCTAAATTTGTATATTTATTATTACGTAGCCCACAAAACCCGAGGCGCCATACACAACCTTCAGCCAAGTGAGGACGAGAACCTGGATCTCCAGAATGCCAGGGCAGTAATTCAGATTATCAGCATAGTCTAGCATCTTGCTTCTCACTGTAGCCAACCCAATGCCTCTGGGAAACCTACAAGGAGGGCATGAAGGAAATAACCTTTCCTGCTGTCGTTCCCCATTATCTGATATTCAGTGCTTTAGTGCCTTGTGAACACTGGAGTAGCATATAGGCTTTTTTATAGCTAATAATCATTGATAGACTTATTCTTCAAAATGTCCAGTCCAGTCTGCTTCTAATATCTGAGTAGACTAATAGCCATCACCACCAAATGGCACTGATGTCAGTTAATCTTTTGTATTTAAGGGAGAGCCAGGAAAACCAGGTGAACAAGGTTTGGTGGTAAGTCCTCCTTTCTCCAATTAATACGGGCAATCTATAAGAACTTGTGCATTTACCTTTTCCCACACATATCCTTGGGCTACCAGGTACATAGTTCCAGCTGCAAAGCCCATCAGAGTTCAAAGGTGAATCATTTGGCAAAATCAATAAGGTAACAGAATTCTTTGTTTATACACATAATTTTAAAAAGTTGGAACCATCTTGTGCTACCTACCAACAGGAAAAGGCTTTTATTTGTCTTTTTCTCTCCCAAAACCTTTTATTTTCATGTAGGGTGCACTCAATTCATCTGTTTGCTTCAGAAGTATATTCTTTTGTTGGTCCTGTGCAAGGCCCATGTGTAAATCTTCCCATCTGTACTTGCTGGACCGGGACATATATTTGTGTTTCCATGGTGTTTGGTCTCCACAGTGATTCTCATTAAAGAGCTCACTCTATTTTTCTGCCATGTGGACAGGACTGCAAGAAAACCTAGTGGTTGCTGTTTGTGAGACACTGAAGGTTTATGTTCAAACAGTCACATATTCATCAATAGACATAACACAAATAAATGAACTTTATGCCTGGCGATAGTGACACATGCGTTGGTGGCTTCCCGACTTGACTTCTGTAACGCACTCTACGCGCTCTATGTGGGGCTGCCCTTGAAGACGGTCCGGGTACTTCAGTTGGTTCAAAATAGAGCTGCCAGGCTGCTGACGGGGACTGGGCGTTATGTTCACATGACTCCAGTCCTCCGTCAGCTTCACTGGCTTCCCATTGAAGTCTGGGCCCAATTCAAGGTGTTGGTGATGACCTATAAAGCCCTAAACGGCTTGGTTCCTGGTTACCTGAAGGAGCGCTTACGTCCATATATGCCCGCCCTCCCCCTGAGATCTGCGGGAGAGGCCCTTCTCCAGGAACCCTCCGTGAAGGAAATTAGGAGGATAGGTACTCGGAGGAGGGCTTTCTCTGCGGTGGCGCCCAATCTATGGAATGCACTTCCCAGAGAGGTCCTCCTAGCGCCGTTGTTATTTGATTTTAGGTGCCAGGCGAAGACCTTTTTATTCAAATGTCATTTTAACTGTTAATAGTATTTATTTATTTTATTCTTTGGCGAGGGCGACTTAATTTATACTGTTAATTTATATTATTTTAATGAAGTTTATTTGTGTCTGTGATCCGCCCCGAGGCTTCGGTGAATGGGGCAGCATAGAAGTTTACTAGATAGATAGATAGATAGATAGATAGATAGATAGATAGATAGAACATGGGAGGAGCTCTGTTTAAGCAAACTACCCATCTGGTCTGATGTTCTGCTTCTCACAGTGACTGACCAATGCCTCTAGGAAACCCACCATCAGAGAACAATAATCTCAGTGTTTCTGACAGTGGTCACATTTTCTTACAGGCATGCAAAGTTTATTTATTTATTTATTTATTTAGAAAATTTCTATGCCGCCCCATTTGCCGAAGCCTCGGGGCGGCTCACAACATAAATCAATTAAAATAATATAAATTAACAATATAAAATAAGTTAACAATATAAAATAGGTCACCCTGGCCAACGAATAAAATAAATAAATACTATTAACAGTTAAAATGATATTTGAATAAAAAGATCGCCTGGCGCCTAAAAACAAATAATGACGGCGCCAGGCAGACCTCTCTAGGGAGCGCATTCCATAGATTGGGCACCAGCGCAGAGAAAGCCCTCCTCCAGGTACTTTGCCTCCTAATGTCTTTCACGGAGGGTTCCCGGAGAAGGGCCTCTCCCGCTGATCTCAAGGGGCAGGTGGGCATATATGGACGTAAGCGCTCCTTCGGGTAACCAGGACCCAAGCCGTTTAGGGCTTTATAGGTCATCACCAACACCTTGAATTGGGCCTGGACTTCAGTGGGGAGCCAGTGAAGCTGACGGATGACTGGAGTCATGTCAGCAGAATGCCCAGTCCCCATCAGCAGCCTGGCAGCTCTATTCTGCACCCATGTTCCACAGTAAAATATGGCATAAGTGCCTATAGTGGAACCATAACACAGTGACATGCTCTGCCTGTAAACCCATCTCCTATTCATGTCAACATTCCTAGCGCAAAACTACTGGTTATTATGCAGCACAGATGTGATGTGCATGCTTTGTTCAGCTACCCAGTAAAGTTTTCTTCTTTGCTATATTAATAGCTAGCATCCCATTGTTCTCCCTGAGAGCCTGTTGAAAGGTAGGGCAGGAGAGACAGTCATAAATAGATCATGACCTGATCATCTGCAAAGGCTCTCTGGCTTGGAGTGGTAGACCTTCCCTGCACTCCCTGCCATGGGACAAATCCCTCCAAGCAGCATGGCTGCTGTTTGGCCTAACTCAATGAGCTGGAAGTTTGCAGGGCAAGGAGCACTTGTCAGTATGAATAAATTGTGAAAAGTAGTTTTGAGAGAGGTTTTAATTGCAACTGGCATATCCAAGCACAAATGCTGGAGGCTGCCACTTTGCAGAAAAAGTGATACAGTGTGTGATTCATATGATGCAAGCACTCAGCCAAAACAAAAAATAGGAGAAGGGAGGAAAGGAAGAACGAAGGAAGGATACAGGAATCTAGTGATATTTTAAATACTGATCTAAATTATTACAACTCCTTAAAAGCCTTAATTGTATATGATCCATTATTTTTCCAGACTGACACATAATTATGCAGTATAATTACTTTGCAATTATAGATGTGACCAATATGTAATTTACTACAAGCAAATTGCTTGCCTGTTTGACAAGGCATATTCTGGTATTTGAATCTGCACCCTCTCATTTGTCTTGGAAGATATGCAAGTCATCAAGGGCCATGCCCTGTGGAGGCTTGGAGGACACAGACATATAAAAGCATCCAGTCTGACCTTTTGTAGCCTATTCAGTCATCGTAGCTCCTCTTGTGGATGTAGAAACATGGCTTAAAGGAAGGTGAAAGTCACATTGACCTGGTTTACAAATAATTCTGACCTATGGTTCATTTAACCCATTGTTTAATCCTTTGATGGTCTACACAAGGTTTTTCCCCTCAATCCTTGGGTTGCCTATTTCTGTCCTCCTTCACCCCTTTATCCTAAATTCCTTTGCAATGCTGTAGCACTGGCATGTTGAGGGGCTACCATTCTTGCCCACTGTCTCTGTCCTAATTTGGTCATAATGGCAGCATATTAAACTATGCCAAATATCTTGTTGCATGGAAGCTGCTTCCAATTTTAATAATCAGCCTTTAGTCAACCCAGTTGTAGGTTACTGTGTGATGTGTAAACCCAGACACTATGGCCTGGGTTGAGTGTAGGTTGTCACTGAACTGTGGGTTACTGTTGAACTGTAGCTTGTTATACATGTGCGCTGCACTATGGTTTTAGTATGAGCTCTTAATCACAAACAAGGCAGAGTTCACAAGCCAAACAATAAATCATGGACTGATTTTCTGTTCATGGTTAACAACCCATAGTGAGGCATAGTGCTAACATACTGCAGGGTTTGCACGTAATGATGTATAAACATCGATCCACAATTCAGTGACAGACCCATATTCAAGCCATATTCAACTGGATTGTCAATATATGTGGACCAGCTGTATGGAATATTCATGGATTAAACAACTCAAAGTCAATCTATGCTTAGTTTTTAGGTCAAAACCAGCTTGTTTAACCCAAAATAATATATAGCATCTGGATTCTCATATCACACAATAATCTAGCATTAGACCTGATAATAATAACCTAGCATTCATTATACAAAGCCAAAGTGGCTCCCACACAGCACACAATCTGACAAATTATGAGTTAACTGATCTACAGTTTGCTGCTGCTCTGTGTTAACAGGGCTGTAGGTATGAAGAAACAGCCCATGAACAACCCACAGTTCTCAGTTCAAATGTAATGACAACTCATGATTTAAAAAATGCAAAGCACACAACCAAATAACAAACAATTTCTTGTTTTCTGAGTTGTCTGTGGTTGACCATGGTTTGCACATCATGACAAATTCGAGAATTCAGAAGTTAACATTAAGTGGAAAGCAGGATATCCTGCCCACATAGAGTACAGGTTAATAGTCCACCTTGCAGCTGGAGAGGCAAGCATATATCGTCACATGACCACCACAGTGCATCTTGGTCCAAACCTTTGTTTTACTTTCAAGGAACAGTAAGATGTGAAGGAAGACATATCTGTGTTGGTGGGCCTTCTGTGTTGGTGAACCCAACCTACTTTCCATTAGTTTTCAGGTCTGCAAATTATGTGACAAATTGTATAGGCCACTTAGATTTTTAAAATAATGTTCCTTCCATTTTATTTACCAAGTATTGCACCTTCCAACCATTTAGAATTTCAAGCTGCAGGTTATTTTGTGCTAGGAAAACATGTTCCTTCACTAAGTGTATGAATCATGTAGCAGAAACACAAACTTGCTTTTTAGCAGGTATTAGAAGTAGAAAAGCCTTTCTCAAAGAGTGACAGATTTGTGGGTATCAGTAGAAGCAAAGATGGAATGGAAGATTAACATGGAAGCAGGGAAGAAATGGAATCTTTCAGTCTATAGTTAATGCTAAGGAGAAGAGAAAAACATCCTTTGTACATTTCCAAGAGAAAGGTTCACTTTTCCTTGATGTGCAAAACATCAGCTGTTTTTGGCCCAGTGTAGGAAAGTTTGCACAATGGGGCATTTTAATTGGTCATTTAAACTTAAATTGGCTGTATTATTATGCTAATTGAATTGTTTTCCCTTTTCAGGGACCTCAGGGGCCTCCGGGACAAAAGGTATAGTATAAACAATCCTGTGAAAGTGATTATACTTACTAGTGCGAAATTGCAAGCTATAGCAACTGAAGAGTTTTAGCTACTGTAACCATATTGAAGCAGTTAGTTTAGTCTGTGGATTCTGTTTTCCCAAAATACAGCCACATAATAGTGATGTAAAATACCTAATTCCCCTATTCCCATTTATAGGAAACTCAAACAATGCCGAGCCAGACTTGTTTGCTATCCATCTGCTGAACTTGTAGGTTGAAAAAGGTTGCTATAATGTTCTTACTTAAAACACTACTACAATGATGAAACCAAACTCCAAACATTGTGGGAAGTGCAGCTAAGGTTTCAAGTGGGAGACATGGTCTTATTCAAGTAGATCACTGCCATATGACCAAAAAATACCAAGAGAAACAAAGGATTCTAGGTGTTGCTGATAAATTGTGCTTGGTGGCTGGCCAGTGTCTTCCTATTTCTATTGTAACCCGAGAGCTGACTTCCTGTGATTACTTCCGATATTACTTACACTCATCAGGGTTGACAGCTAAAGCATGATAGAGTGAACCCACAATTTATGGACTGTGGCATTAGATCAATACAAAATATGTAGGAATAAAAACATTCTGAATGTTTTTTTTCCTCAGACAACTAACTTAAATTTCCCTCTCAAAAAATATACCTGAGCCAACTTTTTAAAAGGTTGTTTTTTTTTTTTTTAAGATAAGGTATTTTTACTTTTGGAAAGACAGGTGTTTCATAAAAGGTTAGTGTTCAAGAAGGAACTAAAGGAAATGGAAAAGAAGAATTAGTAGAATCACAGGTGGGAAAACTGTTTCCAAGTCACAGGCAGAACTTTTTGAAAGTCACCATCATTACCAAATAAATAACTGATAATATAATACCAGTTTGTGGGGTTGCAGTTAATATGGTGTGGATTGCTGCATGTCCCGTGAGAGAGAGCAGGCTTTAAAATTGCTCTAATCAATTTATTGCCACATTTGATTTATATCTAGGAACAAGGTGAAAATACTACAAGGTATTCCATTTGGTGAACATGATTTAAATTTTTATCTTGGAAGGATGACGAGAAGTTCAACAATTACTATATGATAAGTTACCACGCTGTAAAGACAGTGCATCCAATATTTTAGGATTTGCTTCCTTTATTGTATTATGCCTTATAATATTACTTATATGGGTAAGATGAAATAAATAAATAAATTTATTTGAGTCAGTCTTCCTAAAGGGGAATGTAGTTATTAGGGGTTTGTAAAACCCTTGCAACAAGTCCAGGCTAATGATAAGTGTTATTCCTGGGAACTTTTCCATCCCTTCCTTTTTCCTTTGTAACAAGTTTCCCTTTGGAGCAGATGTTCAATCGCAGATGGCACTGTAAGATAAATTGTTTAGAAATAAAAATAAATTTCAGCTTTTGGTTTACCTTTCCTCTAAAGCCTACTGGCGTGCTGCTGCATACTGCACGGCTGTTTTCTTGACTTCTCTAGCTGTCACTGAGTATGTGTGAAAGTCCCCAAAGCATTCAACATGTACCAGTTCATAGGGATGGTAACAGGAACATTGTTCATAGCATTGCAAATGCTGGCTGTTGGGAGTTATTCTTCAAAATACATATTATTGAATGACAAATCTGTCATTTTCAGTCTTCTATAGAAATGTCAGTGATGCATGCATAATATTCAATGCAGCTGGATTAATAAAATAATTCTAGGAAATTTATGAAATTCCTGAAATTAAATAAAACCTAAATATATTAAAAAGCTATTACAAACTCAGGTGTTTTTTTAAACTTTCTGGTATACATCAATAACTAAAAATATTACATTTATATTCCACTTTTCTGCTAAACTTGGCACTCAAGGGCAGTTCTGCAGTAAAGTACAAATAAAACCCAATCTCAATTAAAACATAGAAAAACACCCTGGCCAGTAAGGATTGCAGCCATAAGCACTGCATTTACTTTGAGATATTGTATGACCTCCTTGCTATGCTTTGCTAAAAGCCAAATGTGTGGATTTCCAAATTAAAAACACCACAATAAAAAGAAATTGCCAGGAAACAGGCCAGCAACTAATGAAGCACGTAACACACTTGTGACTGGCCCCATTCCGCTGGCCTGACAGAGCATCCTGGACCAGCTGAAATTTCTCAACAGTTTTCAGAGTAGGCTTGTACAGGATATGTTTAGCAACTCATTTTGGGATGCCACCAAGTCAATTCTATACCATATCAGACATCACCACAAATGGGCACAGCTGGCTCATTTATCTGACTTCGCATTGACAAAATCTGAGCATCCAGGTTTAAGGCTGAATCCAGGAATATCTTTAAACTACAAACCTGAATCTGCAAGAAGATTGTAAGCTTGTCCCGTACATTCACTTGCCTGATCCGGCTTTCAATTAACCAGAAAAATTAACCAGATGAAATGTTTCAATGAATGCAGATTTAGAACTGATGGACCAAACAGCGCAATCCTATGCATACTTGCTCAGACATTCACAGTGAGACTTGAAATATGTATAGGATTACAGGCTGAAGCATTGTATTTACTTTAAGATATTGTATGTTCTGCATGACACATTTTGTTAAAAGCCAAGTATGTGGTTTTCCACAGGGCTCTTTTGGTGCACCTGGAGTTCCAGGAATGGATGGACAACAGGTGAGTTACACATAGTTCTCTACTCTATTTTTGTTGTAATTATAGTGCAGTCCTTAGTTAGCATGGGAATGCATTCTTAGCATATTTTTCTCACCCAGTTTATCAAGATATATTCTTTTCTAGTGAAAAATAAACAAAAAGAAAATTGCAAAATTGGTTTGCACAGTTAATTTATTGGATAAGAAAGCAAAAATGATAAACACTGTGATTCTAAAACAGTAAATAGTGGCTGTTTCATTAATATAAATACAATTGAAAAAATGGGACTTAAGAAATGCAATAATATTTTTACTATGATCAGCAGCCTACATTCAGCATCTTCCTAAAACTGTAGGGGTAATTCTACATTAGCACTATATACTTTTAAGCATTGAGAAGTTGCTGCACATCTATAGTTCCTATAAACATTAACCTTTTATCAAACTTTGGGGGAAAAAATCTGGACTGGATATATTGCGGTAGAGTCATTGGGCTTATTAAAGCACAATCTATCACATGTAAAAATATTATTACATAAATATATAGAATATCATGCCAAAAAAGTTAACATCATTTAAAAGAATACTTTCTGATGTCACAATTTATGTCCCCTGCTGAGTGATTCTTGACTAATATCAAGCCAATATTTAAGGCACCATGATTATCGAGTTAATTTGAATAACATTTAAAACACAGTCCTAAGCAATTGTTACTCAGCAGATAGAGGGCTCTGAGAGCAGAGTCTTCAGACTAACCGTGGGGAGTCTGTTGGGTTTTCCCACCTCGAGTCCCTGTACTGCAGCCCACTTTCTTTTTTCCCTAAGCCTGATTCATGCAGGGTGTTTGCATGGCCATCCAGCAGAAAGCAAGTCCACAAAGCTGGCTTATGTACGTGCTTTCTGCGGCCCATTTCCCCGTTGTGCAAGTAGAGTACTGCTTCTACACACACACCTTGTAGGCTTTGTGTACTTTAGGCATGAATAATTCAGCACAAAGAAGGGGTCTGCTAACATTCCTGAGCGTTCACAACTTGGCTTACTTCCTAAACCAGAGATGACTCTGAGAAAGAAGTCTAGCAAGTGCAAGAGAGTTGGATTCCAACCAGATCTTCCCATACCAGCTCCATCTATCCTTGTCCTTATGCCAAGTGCCAGGCAGGACAGGAGAAGGATGCATCAGCCAGGCAAGCTGCTTAGTCCCAACAAGAGGGTGGGACACAAGTGACAAACTCCATATGCTTAGTTAAACATTTCATCTTGCAGTGATTGCCCACTCCCAAAAGCTGCCAGAGGATCAGGGGCCTTCTAGAGAAGTATCTTACATGTGTTTGAGGATTGCATGATAATTGTCCAGCTTCCATGAGCACCCAAAAGAGATTTAAAGGCAGGCCTAAGTATCTCTGGATCTCCTTTAAAAATGGACTTTCCATTTTGCATTTTCTCTCTTTATCTGATTAAATCTTTCTAAGCCATTGCCTGTCAAATATTTTGCTAATTCTAGAACAAGAACATCTAACTTCCTGATTCCATATATTTATCCTCAATCCTGTATGCTCTTTACATGTATTCAGATCTGTTTCACTGTTACATTTAAATATAATCTCATTTGAGAGATATACATATGCATTATCAGGAGAAACAGATATGAGTTCACAACAATTAGGGTTCCCCCCCCTAAAAGCCCACTTGTACTATGTGTAGCTCAGAGTAAAGAAAAAGATAAATCATAGCTAATTTTTAATCTGCATAGACAAATCCTTCATAGAGTATTTTAATTTTATTTCTTGAATGATAGAAGAAAATTTGATCTAGAAGAGAATACAGGTATACTAATTACAGACCTGAATTCTACAGCAAACTCTTGGATTCAGGTGGAAATTTGTTCATATTTCATTTATAATAGAAGTATTTTTAAATTTTTCTATCAGTTGTTTAATAATGGAGCACTTCTTTGAGCTCAGAACATCTGAGCTTGACAGATATAGAGTTCCAGTGGATTTAAGGACTTAAATCAGACTTCACAGTTCAATACTGGGCAGAATTTTAATGGGACCTACTAGAATCCACTAGTATAAGAGGCCAGGAAGTTTCCCGAGACTTGTCTTTCATACCAACATAATTGCACTTAGAGGCATTGGCACAGGCTGCAGATGTGGACTGAGCCATCCCATTCAGCCTTGCCCCTGGGAACACTGTGATCTGAAGGACAATATCTTTTGGGAGTAAGAAGGATGGCTGCATGGGGTGCTCCTTCTCAAGGAGTGCTGGCTGGGTTCCAGGGGAATCAGATTCAGAATGTGAAGCAGGACGGTGGCGAGCCTGGGAATGTGGGCCACGTCAAGACTCTGAGATGATGGAGGTACTTATCTCAAGGCCAGATTCCACATACGGACAGGCAGCTCCTGGGATTAATTGGGATGCATAGCTGGCAGGAGGTCAGGAGCAAGGGAGTTCCCTAGACATATGCCAGACAGCCCCAGCCCTGGACCCCATGATGCTGCATCAGCAGAAGAGAGCAACCCAAATAGAGGATTGGTGCACGCAGGGGAGACGTGCTCGCTTTCAGAATGCCCCTCCCAAAGGGGCAGCGCCCAGGCACACTCATAAGGAGAACTCCTGGAGATAATTACTAGATTGGGTTCAACAAGCTGCTCTGTGCTTGCTCAGAGATTAATTCTGGGTGTTTTGTGCATTTGGGTCAATAGAGAATGCTTTGCAAGGAAAATGGCCTGTGGCCTTTGAACGCACGAACCACGGCTTCCAAAAATATCCATGAAGAAACACTTTCAAACAAGTAGTTCTTGCCACACAATATCACTGCACCCATGGTCCAGATCACTCCACGTGGAGCTATTTGCTCTGCAAGCATCCCTCTGTAGTATATAACACGATTGCATCGGCGGAGCAAAAGAAGGGAGGTGTTGCCAAGTGGATGGTCACAGCCCCCTTTCGCTCACATCCACTATACAATTCAGTGGATCAGCTGCAGTGGCTGCAGCTGGCAACATTGGTTTGGAAGGCACACAACTAGCTGAATGATGGCTTTCATTCAGATTTGCAGTTTTGAAAAACAAAAGAAAGATGATGATTAAAAATACATTGTTTCTTCTTATTTTCCCTTGGAAAATTAAACTTTTAACTACTGCATTCTCAAAAACATGGGCCCCAGGTCTATCTTGGGACTGTATGTCTGAATGTTTCCTTTCCCTTGAACAAGAAGCGACAACTAGTGCCTTCTCACATGCTGCATAGACTACAAGGAAAGGATCAGGACCATAACTTATACTTTCATAGAAGAGTTAATAATGTTTTCACACAGGTGTTCTTTTCAAACATTAGGCTTCTGTGTCTGGCAGCAGCCTAGCACTTCTTGGCAACTTTTTCCTGCCAGAATGTTAATCCTTCAGATAGGATAGTAAGCCAAGGTTCTGCCAGTTTAGTGAAATGCAGAGTATTGTTATGCAAGAAGTGATGTCAAATGAAGCCGAAGCTGGGATAACTTTAGTGCCTGGCTTAATTCTTCCATTGTCCATTAAAGCTGCCTGTTGGTCTGCCATCTCAGAGCAGAGTTAAAGCCTTTTGAGGAATCAATGTTTGCATTTTCAAAAATAGGTTCTATGAGCAGAAGCTGAAGTTGCTGTGGGATGCTTGCTTGAGTGTCTGGCCTTAGCCTTACAGGATTTTTTGGTATTTACAATAGGGCTAGGATGCAAACAGAAGGTGCAAACAGAAGGAGCTTAAGAAGACACATAGATGAATAACTTAAAGCTGTATTCTGGAAGTGTCCCATGGAGTTCAATATGAGGAGCTCTGTCAGTGATTTGAGGATATGGCAAAAGAATGATGTATCTCTAGTAAAAAGTTGCTGTTGAACTTGTACTGGATGAGACAGGAAAGGTGGCCAATTTAAAAGACCAACAAGAGTTTTTGATATGGTTAGAATGACTAATAGGACAATATGAGTTATGAGAGGTTCTTAAATATGTCTATGTATGTAGATTAAAATGCTTTTGTATAATATTAGCTGAACAAAATGAGAAAAGTACATGCATTCCCTAGAAATTGGAGCTGCATTTGGTTCTCTGCTTGTCCAGTAATGTGTGAAGAGAGATTTCATTGCATTCCAAATTCTTTAGAATGCATCTGGTTCTGTGTATAACATATGCCACTGCATATTGTTCTAATGCTGTACGCTGGAGATGCAAAACAAAAACTGTTGCACTTTACAACTGAGTACTTTTGCAGTCAGCTATGATGCCAGGTTAACGTCCTGGACATAGACTGAGGAAAACATGAAATTCAAATCCTTAATCAGTCACACACTTGACTGGGTAAACTTGGGCTTGACACAGTCATTCAATCTAGAACAACTCACAAGATTGCTGTGAAAAAACGAATGAGAAAGTTTCACTAAATATCAGTGTGACATAAGTAAAAGCAAATAAGCCTATGCATATGAAAACAGTGTTGCTACTGTAGATTCCTTCCACTTTGGTGGCTTGCTATGTGCAACATTTTGGTCTCAATCATAGTATCAGCATTAGCACCAGGAAGTTAACTATGGTTCTTCCACCTCACTGACATCCTGACTTCCCAAAAAGGTCTAGCTCTAGCTTGGAGATTTCCTTGCGCTGCATATTTTCCATTAACAATGAAAAAAGCTTCTGCAAAGCACAAACCCTGTTTGGCTCACATGCAGATATAGGTGAGATCCTAAACACGTTACTCCATCTTTGCATTTTTATAGACTGACAAGAAAATGTATGACTATGCACACCATTTTGCCTTCGAGTGTTTCAGCATGCTGCATACTGAACATTACAGGCCATTTTCTAATTAAACATGGATAGAACTACACACTTAAAGAGTATGCATGGAGCTCTACTCACACAACAATTCCATGTTTAGTAAAAAGGTGGAAGTGAGGAGTGGGATAAATGCCCAGAGGCCTATCTCAGTTCCCACTTATTCAATTATCCTCCAGATACAACCTATACATATCCAGCTTCTACACGTTTAAGTTTCTTCTCTGTGACCTGGGATGTTTCTTCTTGTTCTCTCACAGTTCCAGTTCATTTTTTAGCATGCAGTCACTGGGCTGGATCTACACAAATGCCCTTAGGTTTCAGTGAAATCAATCTGTAGGTTAGTCAGATTTAAAATTCTGACATATCTATAGTACAATTAACTAACTTGGTCAGAATCAAGCCCACTGACTGCAGTTCTAATATGTGAACAAGGTTCTGATTTCCCTTGGAATAAATTCACAAGCCACCAAACTATTTCCGTTCTTTTAAAATGTACCGATAGATTTACATCATGTGGTGACCATGGCCCTTTTCAGTGTTTATTTCTTTGTGTTGGTTCAGCAAATAATATTTCTTATTTAGTGTTATTTATTAACTGGATAAAGTCTTTCCTTTCTCCCTTCCCTTAGAAGAACATTATTCTTTTTGTTACTTGTGCATAAATCAAGCTGCATAAACGGCAGTTTATTAAAGTAGAAATCAAAAGAGAGAAACACCAGTGCAAATTCTCAGACAGGTTTTGTGGGCCATCTGAGTATTGTTGAAAGAACCTCTCACTTTCACTTGGTGAGTGGGCAGAGAGAGGTTTTCAACTTTAAAACAAATAATGTAATGTTTCAGGCAGGTGGGGAGAATAGATGAAAGCAAATTGAAAAGAAGTAATTCAACACTGGTTTGAAATGCAACTCGGGGCGGGTGGGCAGAAAAGATATCTAAAGGACCACTTTCTGCTGTTCTTGTCTAGCTAATGCAGCTTACAGTCGAACCAGCATGTTTTGGTTGGAGAAGGGATGGCATGGAGAGGCTATTCTGTTTTCTCAGTCATAAAATTTATTGCATTCTACTGAGTGAAAATGCTTAGGGGGATATAATCAGCTGCTACAAAAAAAGTGTGGCATTTCATAGGAACTGTGTGAAACATGCTGTCACTGGTGGTTTGACCTCAGGATACTCTCTTTCCCACTTAGAAAGTGAGGTCAGCTGCACATGGAGGGAAATAGTTTGAGTGTTCTTAATGCAGCCTTCACGTGTAGCCTACAACTTCATTGAAATCTGAGATTCACCACTCTCATTTTAAAAACTCATTTTCAGAGTTAGAAATTAACCTGGAAACATGATAGAAGCATGTTCTTTAGAATTCAGGAACCAGAACACTAGTGGGGAAAGAAGCCCGACTACACTTTTTGTTTTTAAAATGTGTTATTCCTATGCTTACTTTATTTTAACAGGATATCTGATTCAGTGTTTTTGCCATAGCTTTACTGTTCTACTTTCATTGATGTCATAATGAATTCTAACCTGTGTGTTGGTAGAGGACTCTAATATACAGGCAGCGCCTGTCCCCAGTTCTTTTTCTTTTACAAACACAGCAGAGGTGCAGCTAGGTAATTTTAAACTCTGAGCTTCATGGTCTTATGAAAGCCTCTCTTTAGAGGCTTGTATGCATTTCCTGCTCAATGCTAAAAGAGCAAATGCACTGTACTTAGAAGTCCTCAGGTTCACTTTACAGCAATTGCAGTTAAGGCTGGTAAACCCAGCAGAAGCTATGCCAGTCGTGTTGTCCATGGGAAGGCAATGTGTTTGCTTCCGGACAACTTTCATCACACCCGGAAGGTTCCCTATTCTTTCCACATTTCTGTTGGTGCTGAATACTGTGGATTCAATGGAGTTGTTTAATTTATTTAGAATTTTTGTATGCCATCCCATTCGCATGAGCCTCGGGATGGCTTACATACAAGAAACAAACACAATACAAAAAGTGCACATAAAATCCAGATTCAAATCACCCTGGCTGCAATTTAAAAAACCGATAGATGATATTAAAAATTGTTAAAATATTGTTTATTATTTATTTATGTATTTATTTATTAAAACATTTCTATGCCGCCCCATTCTCCAAAGCCTCGGGGCAGCTCACAACATTAGGTTAAAATACAAGAAATAAATAAAAAGGTCTTAGCCTGGTGCCGAAAAACAAATAACGTTGGCACCAGGCGGACCTCTCTGGGGAGCGCATTCCATAGATGGGGCACCACCGCAGAGAAAGCCCTCCTCCGGGTACTTAGCCTCCTAATGTCTTTCACGGAGGGTACCCGGAGGAGGGCCTCTGCTGCCGATCTCAGGGGGTGGGAGGGCAAATATGGAGATGGAGCTAATGAGGTGGAGCTCTGACCCCACATCTGCCCTGTACTGAGTTCTTCAGGCAAATTACTTGTCTTTTGCTATCTTTCCCATGGTAGCCATTTTGTGATGGTGCATGGGACAGTTTTTTTTAGATTGCTAAATGTGCTTTGAGTTCGAAAAAGTTCCCCACCCCTAATGAAAGACAGTACTGAGTTAGATAAAACTTTATTCTGATTTGTATCTGACATTTTCCTCCCTTCCTTCTTAAGATAGTCAAGGCACACTTGCCATGCATTTTATGACAAAACATTTCTATAAAATGTTGAAAGAGAGTTGTGAATAAAATTTATGCGCGTCATATCATAATTTCAGCCTGCGGGTCATTTCACAAAGAATGTTTTCAAGGTTTGTCTGTCAAGGATCCAATGGATTCTGCTGTCACAGTAGAATATAATTGTCCATTTATGTTATTTTAGGGTGAACCTGGTATAATGGGAGAAAGAGGAGCTCCTGGACTCAAGGTTAGTAGAGAAAAGTACTTTCTTTATATCTTGTGTACCTTCATGGACAATGATAAACTAAGAGATATTGGACAGTACCCAAAGCTGCTTGTTCATATCCAATGGCACAGTAGGAAGCTAGCACTTCCTAAAGCAATCCTGGAAACAAACTGAGAGAGTAATTTCTGAATTTGGACAGATCACTGAAATTCCTCTTTGTGACCTCACTCACTTGTTTTCGGTTGCCTTAAGAATTGCTTTCATCTTATTGTGCTAGCGGAGAGTTCCACTGACACATGGGCAGATTTAGATACTGAATTAAAAGCCACCCATGCAGCTTCGTGATGGGGTACGAACCTGAACTGTAATCTTAAACTGCCATACTCAGCTCTCATTGCCATTCTGTACAACAATTTGCATGCATACATGCAGACAGAATAAATGTTTTGCTTTCAGATTTTGCATTTTACCTTTGTATTCATAGTTAATGTTAATTCATGAGTTAATTCATACTGTGAAAGGGGGGCTTTTAAAACAAGCATACATTTTACAATAAATGTCTATTTGTTTCACATACCCACTATTTATTTGAGTTTGTACTTCATTGGTAGGGAAATTCTACTTTCCTAGCTCTCATGAACAAACTGCGGAAATGTTATTTTGTAGCTGATGCATATATTTTCTAAGGTTTAATGGTGTTGCTGTACTTTCTCTGGTTGTATCAGCCAAGCCAGTGTCTCTCAAAATCCACATCTGCCCTTCAGAAGCATTTGCATGTCTTATTGCTATTGACAGCTAATCCTGTAAAATGTTAAAGAATGACAGCCTTGTCCTTTGTCCATCAGGAAAGAACACAGGGCTTTGGGGAAGAGTAATTTCTCACTTTAGAATCCCATTGATGACACTTAATGCTTAATTAGTTTCCAGAGCTATATATTTTGGAACTCCAGATGAATCAATAGCCATAAAATAGGATTTGAATGAGCTATAGTGGTTAAGCTTCCACAAGATGAGCTGTCAGGGCCAAGTTGACAGAACTGAAAGGAGGCTTGCCAATGTGCTAATTTGTCAAGTGGCCAGTCATTTAAAGAGCAACAAGTCTAAACTCTTCTGCGAATATGTATCTGTCTGCCAGATTCTAAGCACAGAAAAAGCCATTGTGATCTGTAGGCCACCTCTGACTGCAGCTTTGAGATTCCCACCCATATATTCACCCCCCACGCCTTTGTTTCATGGCTAATTTTGAAGTGTGGGAGCTCACCATAGCATAATGCCCAATTGATTAGAATCAGCATGGCTGCAACCCTATACCCATAGTTAACCCCCATTAAACCAGGGGGTTTAATGCTTGCTTCAAATTGCATAGGTTCAACCTACAAAACAAGCTGAGCTTTAACTAAAGATATTCAGACAGCTGAAATGCATTTAAGAAACCAAACAATCTTGCAAAGATGAGCTACCATTTGAACTGCTAAAGTGAAGTAGGAAACCCAGCAAAGAGGAAGAAAGAAGAATCAAGACTCTGCTTGGATACTTTTCTTATTATATGATGTCCTATATGCAAAATCTGTCTCAAGCAATCACAAAACCTGAAGGCTTTCCCATCACCTCATTCATTTGCCGGAGTAAGGAAGATCCATTAAGGAACCTGATGTTCCAGTGGATGATGTCACCATGCCTGCATTGGGAGTGGAATCCAGGGGCTGCACACTCCAGCAATTTCCTGTACTATACCATTGAACCTCCACAGTACAAAGTATCCTTCTAGCTCTAGCCATCATGCTGTCTAGCCATGCCTAGTCAAGCTTGATCATACAGTCAAATACAGTACATTACTTGTTTTGGCCAGAATTTGGAAGATACCATATGCCTGTCTGAGAGCCAGTGTGGCGTACGTAGTGGTTAAGAGCGTGGGACTGGGACTCAGGCGATCTGGGTCCGAGTCCCCACTCGGCCATGGAGCCCACTGGGTGACTTTGGGTCAGTCTCAGGCTCTCAGCCCAACCTACCTCACACGGTTGTTGTTGTGGGGATAAGATGGAGGAGGAGAATGATGTCAGCTGCCTTGAGCCCTTTGTAGGAAAAAGGCAGGATATAAATCGGGGGGAAAATTAAAGTGGGGGCAGAATGATCCTGAGGACATCTAGAAATAGTCTAGATTTCGATCCCCACATTAGAAAATTGCTCTGACATTCTAGCAGGAAATCTGTGCTGAGATTCCCCTGCTCACCCCCTACCCTGCCACAGGCAGTGTGAAAAGAACCTTGCTGAGTCTTTCCCTGACATCAGAGAAAGGGCTCATTGGGTGTTCCAGAGGGTAGGAGACCAGAATTACCAAGATATTGCTTCCCCTGCCAGCACCCTGGATTCCCTCCCTCCTCCTTTGGAGTGCTGCACTCAGCCAGAATCAGTCATCTAGCTGTTTTGAGGAGGAGAAGGAGCATCCCTCCAGTGCTGCATAGGATGCCTGCAATGCTCCCGGTTCAGAAAGATGTGGAACTGCATCCTAAATATGACAATTTAAAGTAGATCAGTTTTTAATTTGGCGTATTTGCCAAGCTCAGTAAATATAGGTTCTCCAACCAGATGCCTTCCTGTTGTTTTCCTCTAACATGTACAGCACTGCCTTTTAGAGTTATTTTAATGACTGGCTACCTCCACTGAATCTGTCTTTTGAAAGCATTTATGAACTGAAGTTTTCGTTCTATCTTTCAATTAAATTAGGGTGATCTTGGGCAGCAGGGAGAAAAGGTGAGCTCTGTGTTTTCTTTACAAATCATATACAAACCCCATCCCCAGAAACAAAGTGTCCTTTTTGCTCCCTTGCTTCTCAAAATGCCAGGATGCTTTCGGCCACCCATTATACTCCATTACACTCTTCCAACATCCGCCCCAGATTTTTTGTGGCAGGGGCACTGGGCTATAGCTTCCCTCCATTGTAATTTTCTAAGAATGCTTTTAGGCTCTTTATTCTTAGAAATAAAGATGGAGTGGTGCTGGAGGCTAGCACTTTATTTTCCAGCATGCTGGTCTAGCAGTTGTTGTCATTTTAATTAAAAAATCAGCAGGATCAGGGGACCTGGTGGGTGCTAAGGGAGATGCACATGGGCACCACATGGAGAATCCCTGGTCTAGAAGCTTAGCTAAACCCAGCACTTTTTTAGTTAAATGATACTCAGTTATTAATACTTTAGTGAATGATAATATTCCTCTTATGCAATCTCTTTTTCATTCTTCATATTCTTTGGCTAGATTTGATTATTACAGACAATGATAGCATGATTTTTCCCCTAACCAGTACAACACTAAGTTCTTATTCACATATGCTTCAATTTTCATCATCTGTAATTTTCTATGGTCTGATGCTATAATTTTCTTTAAAACTGTCAAACATAACGTAATTGGTAAAAATTCTATTCTATTCTCTTTTAAGGATTTATATTGTATTTTACATTTTAACTGTTTCATGGTATCTTAATATTCCATATACGGTCCACCTAGGAAACATTAGTTATTGGGCAGATTAAAAATACAATATAAATATTTTTATGTGGGATGTAGTGGGAAGCAGCTAGAGAGTAAAATCATACTATAACTATTTTATCATTTCTTTAAATTTAGGGGGATACAGGAGAGAATGGACCCAAAGGAGACACAGGAGAAAAGGTAGTGCCAATTTTTTAAACTACTCCAGCAGAAAGATAGAAAGCGTGCACCTGCTGCATGAAGCCTGGCCTAGGGTTAAACCATAGGATCTAACTCTGGGCTGTCTCTCCTCCAACAAGGCAAAATTTCAAGCTTGCACACAATGCTGAACAAGCTCTGGAGCTTTCTTAGCCATTCCCGTTTGCCGTCGGTGTGATCAGGCCCTGTGCACCAACTCATTTCACTAACTCTCGCACTTCCTTACAAAAGCCCAAGGTTAAAAAGGCGCTTGTGGTTCCTGTGGTAGACAAACCAGACCAATCACTCCAACTTCCAAATAAATGATCCCCCGATCTAGTACAGCTGAATTTCACAGCTGTCTCTCTGAAAACAATACGTCTCTTTGTTTGTGTATATGTTGGTAATGTTGGGTCTATGACACTGATGGACCACATGAAGTGGATTCTACACATACGTCTATTTTTTAAAATCTTCCCAATTCTCTGGCAAATTCACATGTCAAGGTAAGCCATCTTGTGGAAAAAGTCATGGAGGATCGGTCACAAAATACTCCACAGTAGGTCCTCTTCCACTTGGGAGATCTTGGGAGCACATCTCCCAAAAGCCTTTGCAGCAGTGCCCATCTGGTATTTTTCTTCAGGACCCTCCCTGCTCTGATCGCTACTCCTTTCATTCACCACTTTTTCTTAATTATCTTTTGGTGTTTCAAGAGTTAGCAAATGTTTTTATAATTTTTAAAATTATTTTTCTCTTCTTGCACAAGTACACATTTTCTCCTGTCTGACTAGTGTAAGCTTGTCTAGTCATTTTTCTTGTATGTTTCAGCTGTCAAAGGGAGCAGCAAACTGGATATTAATAAGGCAAGGCTGCATATAGGCTCATTTGCAGACAGTTGTGAAGGACCAAGGGAGAAATAATAGTAACCCAGTTTTGACCCGCGATTCAGAGGCACCAGAAATAGGTGGGGAAGGTGAGACCAGTACAGGCACCAGAGTGTGGGAATAATATCTCCTCCTTGACAATGTAATCCTCCTGCTTTTAAGTGTTTCTATGACACTTCTCAGCATCCATTCAACATTTTGCTGAATCTTCAGGAGATCCAGAAAGGAGAGATATTGCTCCCCATTTTTTGCAGCAAAAAACGGGTGGCGAGCATGTGATAGTTACTACAAAGTGCTGTTCAGGCATTGGTGATGGACAGACACTAGCCAGTAAGGCGGACGCAGCACTGGTGAAATCATGAGGAGACCCACAGACCTTTTCCCACTCTTGCCAAGCTGCCCTGTAGCTAGTCCAGCAATCTAATTAAATACTTTCTGAAGATAAACTTCTTTGGCAGATCTTAATTTGAGATAAATAGATGTTTACAGGCTTCTTTCAAGCTGAGCCTTATTAATTTAGACATTTGGAAACACAAAGCCTGACTCTGTCATGAGAGGTGTTTTTAAGGAAATAATTTATTTTACTAAATAGCAATTATTACCTTGCAACTGATAAGAAGACATGAAGCAGTTTCTTTTCTTCAATTTTTTCTGTTTGGTGTAAGACATTAAAATGAATATGTTACAATGCAATGTAAAGCCACACAGATTTTTTTTATCTCTTTCCGGACTTGTTCATTTCCCCTGTTCATCTTTGCTCCTGTCATCATGGAGTGTTTCTGAGCATAGTGTTTTCCCCACATTATCAGATAAATTCTCTCCTGCAGATCTGCTGGCTAGGATGGAGTGGAGGCACTCCACTCCACTACTGGCCTGGCTGAGAGAAGTCCTGTCAGCAGGATAGCAGCAGTGCCCACAGTCAAGGCCCCTGTTATGCCCTGGAAAGATCTGTGGACAGCAATCTCGCACATCGTTGCATTGTGTTTCTACTGGCCGTAGGTTCCAAAGCAGGCCATGGTGGAGGCAGATTGGAGGCCCTTTTTCTTCTATGATGCCCCAGGAATGGGCTTAATGCCTTAGGCTGGGGTGGGCGTTTCTCCTCCTGTGGGAAGCCACAGGAGGGCACTTGGGAGAAATGCTGGAGAGAGCAATGGCGGTAAGTCCATCCTTATCAGCATGAACTGGAAGGATTTTGGAAGTAGAAGATGATCCACTTTTCACATCTCTACTCCCTCACTTAGAACTGCTCTGTATATTATTTCTCACTTTTATATTCTGCCTTCCTCAAGGAGCTCAAGGTAGCACACATGTTCCTGTGTGCTAGCTGGGCTACAATATAGTGATTGGGAAAAGTGTTGCACATCTCAGCTGAAGGGGGATTTTGTGCCTAGGGCACCTGTTCCATTAACTGCATCTCGATGACCTGAGACTACAGAAGCTGAGTGTTACCAATAAAATATTTCATTATGTTTGTTTGCTAGAACTGTAAATTCTCCAATTTTCACATATGATTATTGTTTCTGGATTTTATTATTTCATTATCCAGGGTGATCCTGGATCTTCTGCTGCTGGAATTAAGGTAATGTAGAAATGATAATTCCTGTGCAAGAGGTCAATACAAACTTATTTTATTGCATTTTATTTCTTTCCCTTAACCCATCTCTACCAATTTATTTTATAATTTTCTTGTTTGTGTTTGCTTTTTTAATTGTTCCTGTGTCTTAGGGGGAACCTGGAGAATCAGGTCGACCAGGACAAAAGGTAATTAACTTTTTAAAGTAGTTAATCTATGTATCACTTTTTATTATTACAAGATCCCTGAGATGAAACCATGTCCATTATTACAAATTTCACTATGAGCCCTACTAGCATAGCATTGGATCCAGATTTAGTCCTACTTTGGACATACTTAAGGCACAATCATAGACCCACTGAAATCAATGGAGCTTAGTCCATTGATTGCTGTGGGTTTATTCTGAGTCCAATATCTAAGACTCTATCCAACTCAGTATTCATTTTAAACTACTTAATACTAAATCATTCTATTGTCCCAACCGGCACAATATTATATTGCACAGTATTATTGCCCCAACTGACTTGTGGTTCTGTAGGATCTGAGACAGGGATTCCTCCCCTCAACGGATATGTTTTCCTTTATTAACTGGGTCTGGATGTGGGATTTCCTTCATGCAAAACATACATTCTACCACTGAGCTAACATACATTCAAAATATTTTTCTAATGAAGGCAAATGTAGAACAGAAATTTGAATATATCAGCAATCTCCATGAGTATATAAATTTGAGCTTTTTATTATTATTTGCTGCTTTGAAAACTTTATTTGGAGCCTTTAAACATTGCAGTGTAAAAATTAACAGTTTCCCTTTCAGTTTTACAGTTTCCTTCAACTTTAAGAGCTGACTAAAGAATGACAAATGATACCTCTTGTTATCACGTATACTGGATTTCAGTCTTCTTCATTTGACTTTGAAAAAACTAAGATGTCTTAAACATCCAGTCACAAAGGTCCCTAGAAACATGAGCATTTGAGTATGTATAGCTAGCATCCATGTATTACATATTACATCATTATTCACATATTATACTAGAAAAAAGAGACAGGATCAGCCTCTCTAATTATTCTCTTTCCAACTGTACCTTGTAATGACTTAAAAACTAAACTTTATACTACTGAGTTTATAATAAGATCTAAAAATAAAATAAACAATAACGGTGTGGTATAACCATCTTGCACTTTTGGAATAGACAATTTAAAAGAATGGATATATTCCCACTTCAATTGTTTAATTGAATTCTTTTATATACTAATTTTGGTCCATTTTATGTATCTTACAAATGAATGACTAAATGCTATAGAATATTTCCTAAATGTAGAGATATGTATTAAAATAATGTGAAATACCTGGCCATCCTGTTCCCACTGAAGCATCTACACTGTCCTGGAGGGACCGGGGGGCTGTAACTCATTGGTAACAGTAGAACATAGGATTTGCAGGTCGAGGTTCCCAGGCCCAATTCCTAGTATCTCTGTAGGACAAGGAAAGAGCAACCTGGGACAGCAGCTGCACTGCCAGTCACTGTCAATATTACTGAGCAAGATGAACCAATGGACTGATCACTACCAGGCATCTTCTTATATTCCTAGCACCATGCATGAAACCATACTGAACTGGCAACCTAATTTTTCATCACTTTTCTCTGTTGCTCATTAAAAAAAAAAGATAATATTCAATTTTGTTAATCACATGGTGAATACATTTCCTAATATAAGAGAGCCAGTGTGGTGTAGTGGTTAAGAGCATGGGACTGGGACTCGGGCGATCTGGGTTCTAGTCCCCGCTCAGCCATGGAGCCAACTGGGTGACTTTGGGCCAGCCACAGACTTTCAGCCCAACCTACCTCACAGGGTTGTTGTGGGGATATGATGGAGGAGGAGAATGATGTAACCTGCCTTGAGTCCTTTGTAGGAAAAAGGCAGGATATAAATCGAAAAATAAATAAATAAATAAATAAATAAATAAATAAATAAATAATATCCTTTTCCTCCTTGTGGAAAAGGTAGGTGCATCATATAAAAATGCACACAAGGCTGTAAAGCATTTAAGCATGCTAATCGTTTAAGATGAATTAACTATGAAACCATTAACATTGCTTATTTTGCATGGATGTTCTACAGCGTATTTTAAAAGATGTTTAGATCACATTCTGCACTGCTTTTTTATTGGTCAGGGAATAGCTATAAGAAATAAGGTATCAGTAGAATAGATCACACTCCATTACATTCATGATTGACCAGATGGATAAACCACAATGAATAATCCATAGCCATGCAGTCTAGTGTAATGCAGAGTTTTATGAGATGATAGCTTTGGGTGTTGATGTGTGATACCACATAAACAAAATAAATAGTTGTAGAGGGCACAATTCAGGGGGAATGTTTTCTCTGCGGGCTGCCTGGCAACAACAACAAAATCACAATTCTTGTGGAGCTCTTGGTGTACTATGGTCATCAGGTTTGTTTAGAATATAGTCCTATGCATGTTTATACAGAAATCAGGCCTACATTTTCCAGCATGCTGCATCTCCACTATGGGCGTGCTGGGAGCTGCAGGGCTTTTTCTGTCCAAACATACATAGGATCGCATCCTTAATCCTTATTAGATTCAAGGAGTAATGATCTGAATTTTACCTCAATTGTTTTTGCTTGGTTTTTTAATGGCCCATGTGTTCTAAGAAGGGGAATCCTGAACCTGGGAATTAATGCTGTTTTTTGTTTGTTTGTTTGTTTTTTGGTTTAGCTGGATGCATACATTTTTACTGTGCAAAACATTTTGCACAGAGTTTGGAAAGATTGAAGCATATCTCTTGACTTATTTACTGGTAGTAAAAGCTTTAAATTAAACTGTGCTCGTATTTTGTCCTCACCCTTTTAGCTTTTTCTATGTCCACCACTGGAATGCTGTTCCTTAAGATTTCTCTGAAATGAAATTTAGCTTCAATTGGTGCAAAATAGAGCTGCCAGGTTGCTGACGGGGACGGGGCGTTATGCTCACATGACTCCAGTCCTCCATCAGCTTCACTGGCTTCCCATTGAAGCCCGGGCCCAATTCTAGGTGTTGATTATGACCTACAAAGCCCTAAACGGCTTGGGTCCTGGCTACCTGAACGAGCGCTTACGTCCGTATATGCCCGACCGCCCTTTGAGATCTGCGGGAGAGTCCCTTCTCCGGGAACCCTCCATGAAAGAAATTAGGAGAGTAAGTACCCGGAGGAGGGCTTTCTCTGCGGTGGCGCCCAACCTATGGAATTCACTCCCCAAAGAGGTCCGCCTGGCACCGTCGTTACTGGTTTTTCGGCGCCAGGTAAAGACCTTTTTATTTAAACATCATTTCAATTGTTAAAACATATGATCTGGCCTGGGCAACTTCTTCTTCCTTCTCTTTCTCCTCCTATATTTTTATTTTATACTGAAAATTTTAATTTTGTATTTGTAAATCAATGTATTTTTTGTATTGTTATATTTAATGGTAATTTATTATGTACTATTGTATTTCAATGTATTTTATCATGTTGTAAGCCGCCCCGAGGTTTCGGCAAGGGGCAGCATAGAAATGTTAATAATAATAATAATAATAATAATAATAATAATAATAATATGAAAGATCCTATTATTGGGATCTAACTCATGGTGTAAAGATTTGTTCAAAAGTCCAAGGCTTGGTCCATGGAAGAATTCTAGGGAAAGGATAATTTGAACAGCTTCATGGAACTAATTACCAGAGTAACCTTATAATTCAATGTTTATTCAGTGTTCACCATGTGCCTAGTTTTGACTTATCTATGCTATATCATTTTACTTCGTAGGGTGAACCTGGGCTCCCTGGACTTCCTGGATTACCTGGGATTAAGGTAAATATACGGATATGATCTGTGTGAGATGGGTGTGATAAACACATGCATTTGATATGCCTTTGAAATGATTTATTCTTAAATTTAAGATTGTCAACACCTTATCACCCACACATGAATGAATGGATATGAAATGTCACTGGCAATACTAAAATGTATAACTTTTGTGTAGGATAAGGAGGGTTTGTGAAAGGGTTACTGAATACTGCCAGCACTTGCAGTCTTCAGTGGACCAGACTGGATGATATCCTTACTTGGATTGCTCCTCCATATTTGATAGGGAATGAGAGTGCATCCTATTTCTCTGCCCACCTGTTGCACCTGCTCAGACAGTGCTCCTGTGCTGCATCTGACACTATGAGAAGTCTGCATTTGGGCATGACATCTGAAAAGGAATGTGGGTATAAAATCCACTGTGTATAGGCCCAGATGACCCAATCAGTTCCCAGATTTTATTTGCAATACAGTGATTTGGATTGGATGGATGTGTGTGTGCATCCAGTCACATCAGACACAAGGCAGGCATGCCAGATGTATGAGAAAGGAAGAAGTTTCTCACTTCCCATTAGAAGCAGGGCAGTGATCTCCAAAGACCCTTATCTGATCCATAGCCATTCTTGACTTGGTTACTGATACAGTTAATTATGTGTCTGGAATAATTGCTTTATTTTTTAGATTTGGAGTGCAATCCTAATTTTTAAGTTTGGAGTGCAATTCATGTTTACATGGAAGCTAAGCCCCATTAAGTTCAATGGAGCTTACTCCCAGATAATTGCACATAGAAATTATCTTACCTGTTTAAGAGCTGAATAAGTAAACATCTGAAAGCCCTGGAGGTATGAGTTCATCACATCCAGCAAGAATGCTCTTAGTCTTGTGATATTACAGAAATGCATCCTAGTCATATTTATTCCCACCCTCCCCTGCCATCTGTGAAACACTATGTTATCAGCAGTTTTTTTCAGAAAAAAGCACAAATTCAGTCAGTTATGAAACCTTCTTAGATACACAAAAAACTTTTCTTGACCAACCATTGCTCTTCTGAAATGGTTAGAAATATAATAGGTGGCAGATGTGTTCCACTATTTCATTCAGGAAACCTGCAGACCACTCAAACATAGAATATTGACTCATCCATATGAAATCCCACAATGCCCTTTAAACAGAAGTCCCTTGTGCCTTGCAGCATGATGTGAATCAAAATGCTTGTGGGTTTAGTCTACAGTCCAATATCCCAGGAAGTGATATTCTATATATACTTATAATATATACACACCATTTAAAAATGTCTGGAAAGGAGGCAGTATAACCTCTTTCTCCTTGAGATTACCTCTTTTCTCCATGCATTCTGCCGTCTTAATAGCAGCTAGCCCTCCAGCACAAATCAACCCAGGGCACATATGGGAGAGGATGTGTAAGTTCCCAAACCATATTGGGATGGGAGGGGGGCAGATTTGCAATTTCAGGCAGAAATGTAAAACTGAAAATGGGACAAGCTGCATATACATGGGACTGGACTCTACATTATTTAACCATGTGGGTGAATGAGAATACTTGTGCGTGCCTGCAGATAAAAAGTGTGTTTTACTTTATAGACAAATATTATATAAACGACAGCTAGAGACAAGTTTTTGGTGAATTCAGTGCCTACTACCAAGCTGACAAAAATGTAAACCCTTTAGCTGTTTTTTTGAATATGTGGCATTATTTCACCATGTAAGCGACACAATATGCCAGGGGGCAAGCCTGGCTCAAATATTTTTAGAAACAAAATAAGACCCTGGGGTCCAGCTCAGCAGGTTCTTGGGGCTTATCAGCGTGCAAGTTCATGGACTGGCACTGAAGTAAATTCCTTCCAAGCACAACAAAAAGTTGTTGGGGCCCTAAAGCTGAATTCAGTTGGTGAGAGAGAAGAGGAGAGAATACGATCATGGGGCGATTCGTGAAGCCACTTGAAGTCTTCAACTGAACCATCAACGTGGTCCTTTTCAGTGGCTGGGAAGTGCACGGGCACTGTCAGCACCAGCAATTCACATGCATCAGCTGCAGTCACACAACATAACATGTATCCCATCAACCACTGCACTTGAAATTCAATTCCGGAGCGCATCACTCCTTACCAATGTCACCCCACTCTTTCTGATTGGCCCACACATAGACATGGGATGGCTAGAGTAGCTCCGGCCATTGCCACTCTTTTCAGAAGACTCTACAGTAGTTGCTACCATGGAAACTGTGATTCTGGTTTCAGACAACACAAGTCATGTTGGTGCAAAGAAACCATTTAACAAACTATTGTTTCCTATCATGGTTTCTAAAGACCAAATTTATCATGACTGGGTTCAGACAACATGAAAGACCAGCAATGGTAAAAATCAGCATAGTTTGTTTAGTTGTTTGAACCCAGCCATTAACTTTAACAAAACACCAAAAGGTTGTTGCTTTCAGTCTTAGCTATTTAAGAATAAGCTTCTTCTGGTGTTAAGACCCAGAACAAAAATGGGTCTCTTTTTGTTTTTCCTCTCCTCTGCATTGCAGAGGCATCATTATGCCTCACTGAAATGGAACTTCTTGTTTACTTTGTTTCACACCCCATTAACAAGACTAATCTGGATAGAATCCCATTAGCTTTCTGTTATCTTAGTGGAGTAGATGATGACAATGCAAAACTGAAAAGGAGATGTGTCCATAGAATATACTTGATTACTTGTGTAAAAGAATTTTCATAGTTTATATATTTTCTTCTTTGATAAACCGGAAATGAGGGTTAGGGGGAAGAGAAGGCAGAGTGACAATGTTAAGGCAACCACTTTGTTCTGGTGATGGCTATGAAGTTCTTCTGGTTGACAAAATGAATAATTGTTTCCAGATATTAAGGTTATGTCTGGGATGACTAAATATATTTTTGCCCTTTATGTAATCATCTCCACCTTTTTTTAAAATTAAGCTATTTATTTGGAGTGCTGGAGCTTACCATTGTGTTTGGAAAAGACATGAAATCCTGTTCCATTTATACATATTAGACCTAAGCAGGTGATCTAAGAATCATGCAATTTATTCTGTAATGTAGGAAAATGTAAAGAGAGGGTACAATGATAGAATAGCAAATCTATTCTCTAGAGTTTGGATTAGGGTTAGAATGTAGGTTTGTTCCAAAATGTTCCAAATGCAGGCTTAAAGCCGAAAGGCTGGTTTCCTACAAACACAGTCACCTACACCCTTGCTAAAGTAAGTGTTGAACTCTGTTGGTGGTAGATTTATACAGGGGTCCCATGAGGACCTTTGTAGATTATTTTATTTTCATTTGTTATACTATAGCTTTACAATGTTGCTCAAGGGCTCTAACAATCATAAAATCATAAAATGTACATAATATGTAATATTGGACATAACCACATCAACTGAAGCACATCAGTTAAACATGTTTAGCTCAGCCAAAAATATTAAAAACAGCACCCCTCAAAAATAAACAGTTTAGCAGTTTAAATATTGCTTGAATAAAAAGGTCTTTCCCTGCCAGAATGCACAAATAAGCTATTTAGGGGGTTGTTCACAGGGATTACTTCTAAACCAAGATGTATGCCTGGTAGTATTGTCCTATCTTTGAAAAGGAGTTTGGATTGCATTGTGATGACTTGAAAAATAATGGAGGAGGAGGAGGAGGAGGAGGAGGAGGAGGAAGAAGAAGAAGAAGAGGAAGAGGAAGAGGAAGAGGAAGAGGAAGAAGAAGAATTTTACTGAAAATGATAAAGAATGGATAGATTTTTGGTAAATAAAATAGGGAAGGGAATATTCTGACTTCTGTTTATTTAAAAATATTAAATAGACTTCCTCATGCATGCAAAATATTATTATATATAACATTCATGTCACTGATTTTGAACATTAAACCATGGGTTGAAAGTTCTTGGAGTTCTTGAGAGCATTTGCAGTTCTACTGTCACTGCATATTAGTTCTGTTTCACACTGAGACACATATAGAGTCTTGTGGGAGTATTCACTCTTCCATTTGACTTTCCCCCACTTTATTGGATATTTGTTGTTCCCTAAAATATTAGCCCTCAATATTTCTTGTATTGTGTTTGCATTTGGGTTCCATACATTATTACTAATGAACCTATGAAACAGAAAATTTTCTGCAGAAAAATAAAGCACTGAAAATTTCCAGGAAATGTTCCACCCTTCATCAATGTATGTATGTATGTATGTCAGTTTATCTATGTGCATATTATACAATTCTTTTATTTTTCATTGCCTAATTTATGAGAGCTATAATTGAATACATGTTTCACCCCATTTTATTTACTCCTCATTCTTTAGCTCCTCGCTTGCTTTTGAAGTTTATCGATTCTTATACTGTTTTTTCACTCCTATGTCTATGAACAATGATAATTTTTCCAAATACACTTTTTTTAGCTATTCAGGAAATGCCTTTGGCTTCATACATTGGAAATGTCTTTTTGACCAGCAAATTCATGTTATAAGGTGGTGTAGAGGGCAAGCTGACATTTTCATTCTTTTCACTATATAGTTACACTTGATCAACAACTGTGTCCATTCATAACAATGAGGAGAATTATATAAATGAAGTGCAAGATGTGTTTTTCATTCCATATTATTTTGTGCTAATTGTCAGTTTCATCTTGAGAGGTACAGCATACTTAACAGCCAACTGATATTGGTTGACTTAAATTAAGGCAATAAGGAAGCAAACTTAGGCACACTTGCCTGAGAAACACGCATATACTTCATTACCATTTTAGGACCTTTTTCTCCACTGGTGCTTTTTTACATAACTAATATTTGCTTAGCATTTAGTGTGACTTTCACCTGCAGGATTTTATGGATTGATATTTACAATTTTTCAGCCACCTTTCCAACCCAAAGGTTGCTCAGCATGATTCAATTCATTATACAAGATCTAAACTATACAAATCAGGAATTGATTCAGGCTCTCAGTTGATGCTATTGGTCATCTGTTTCCTGGTGTCACTCCCATCTCCATGATGTCTGTCATGCAGTTCATTAGTCCTGTATTGCTTCTTTTTTCCTGCATTCACTTATTCATTCACTTTGATTTTTTTCCACTGAAGCCCAGTGTTTTTGGAAGAATTTAGCTAAATTATTCTCTTCTAACCTCCACTTTCATGCTGTCCATCTCTCTATGCCCCCCACTCTCTAATGCACACACACCAAGTACCCTACCTTGTCTATGTAGATTGTTACCCATATTCTGTAAACTATATGATTTACAGATAATGTGTAAACTGACCTTTAGAAAAGCAACAGCCTTTATTTGAGATGGATGAATGAATTATATCCACCCACACCTAACATATGGAAAGTCACTTGTTAATGAGTCACCAGGTGGTCAGTATGCCTGTATAGCTTGATCTCCATCAATCGGATAGTAGAGGGCATTCTTCCTTGCTTCTTGTTTCTCATTTGCACTCTTGCAAATAGTTGAAAGTGGTTCAACTAGAGTGGACCTAATTTTAGATATGAACTTAATAGTTTTATGGGAATTGGGGGGCTGTAGGTACCTACAGCTATTGTGAACCACATACCTTGCATGCAACAATCACTGGCAGTCAGTCATCCCATGGCAGGCCCATGCCTTTCCAGCTGACCAAGGGTAACATGGCATGCTAGCAGCTGTAGGTCAATTTATATATAGCTCTGTGTATATGCATGTGTATAAACAAATAGCTTATCAGACAATCCTATTTTTTTAAAAAAAAGAAATGCCACGTGGAGTTTCATATTTTAAACTCACTTAAATGATACTACTATCATGACTGCAGAAATCAAATGGAGTTTGATCCTGCTGCCTTGGCACTACAGACTTTTAGCTGGAAATAAGCCCCATTTTCCTGCAGTAGAAGTTGGTACATATTTAAACTAGAAATAAGGGAAAGAGCATCTATGTAACCATGTATATATCCAGCTGACTGCCCTGCCTATAAAATGCTCTTGGAAAATAAGAAGGATGCTGAGGTGAGTCCAGGTGGACTGGGTCTATTTCCTCCTGCCCCATCCCCTCCACACACTTGCGGGGGGGGGGGGTTATGTGATAGGTAAGCTGGGCTGCACAGTATAGCTTTCAACCCCAAGGCCATGCAAGCACATGGTGGGCACATCGTGAGCAGAGCTGGGGTCAGACTAGGTGGCCCAGAAGGCCCCTTCTGACTCACTCTGTTTCTATGTTTCTATTACTTGCCAAAGCAAAGGTGAAGGTGATGACCTATAAAGCCCTAAACAGCTTGGGTTCTGGGTACCTGAAGGAGCGCCTTCTTCCCTATGTGCCCTCCCGTCCCTTGAGAGCCGAAGGAGAGGTCCTTCTTGGGGAGCCCTCCTTGAAGGAAATTAGGAGAGTGGCTACCTGGAGAAGAGCCTTCTCTGTGGTGGCGCCCCATCTATGGAATATGCTCCCCAGAGAGGTTCACCTGGCACCGATGCTTTATTATTTTCAGTATCAGGTGAAAACCTTTTTATTTTCCTATTATTGTAATGTTTGGTTTGTTTTAACTGGGGCTTTTGATTTGCTGGATGCTGCATTTGTTTTTGCAATTTTATTGTTCCTTATTGTCAGCTGTTCCGAGACATCAGTGGTGGACGGGATACAAAAGTTTTTTAAAAATAAATAATATCATATAAATGCAATAGAGGTAAAGAAGTAAAGCAAGGTCTTCCCTATATTTAAGGCTGCATTGCTAGAGATACTTACTAGGAAGTAAATCTTATTGAAGACATTGTTCCATAAGTAAAGGAAGATACAATGCATTGTTGACATGTTTATTCTTAATTCTGTATTCCAAGGCAGATTAAAAATAAGCTATGTCCTTCTGTTTGCAAGCAACCAACCTGAATTTTCCTCTATCAATAGATAATGTTGACCAAACTACCAATCCATTAGATTAAACTTTTCACCTGTAGTTTTCACATTACTGGATTCATGGGACTAATTTCAGAAGTGATCTCATGAATGCAAAATACTGCATCAGAATTGGTCCTTATAAAAGAAATTATCAGAAGAGAAGAACTATTTAATCTAAAACTTTTACATGCAAGTGGGAGGAGACAAACCTACAAATAAGCAGTGAATGGAAGGAACTATGGCTTTACCTGACCTTCACACTGAACAGAAATGAGGGTTCCTTGTAAATTTCCTTTACAAAATAGAAATGAGGGTTGCTTCTGACTTGAGTTCCTCAAGTATCACCCCCTCCATGTGAACTGCCTGAGATCCCTGTGCCGCTTCTATGACCATTCTCTGTGTCCCTCTTGCCATTGGATATCCATCAGCCTTCCACCCCAGGGAGGTACTTACTGCTTCTCAATAAAGAACAAAAATGGTTTTGTTTCAGCAAGCTTTTCTGTGGCACTGCTTTTAATTTAGGAGAAGCACCCTACACTACTGATAATACAACTAGAACAAAGGATTCCAGAAATAAATCAGTGCCATCGAATAGGGCAGATCAGTGATACTCCCAAAATGAAACTTTGCTGACCTCTTGCATCCTGGAAATGGGTGTTTCCCCTAATTTCCAGGATTATTTTAGAAAGAGCCATTTCCTGCAGCTCTAGCAGTCCATTTGTTTTGCTCGAGAGAAGAGCGGAGGCACCGCAGCCATGCAAGATGCTGTGCAAGGAACTGATCACTACAGCTGCTTTTTAGCTGTGTTTTATATCTGGGTTTTTAAAGACTATTTAAGGATGATTTAATTGTTCACTGTTTTATTGACTATTTCTGCAGAAGGGGAGAACTGAAGCACTAAAAATCAATATGTTCTTTAGAACAAAGATAAACAGTAGTTAATCCTTTTGGTGACCTCTCTGGTAATCCATCTGCATATTACTCTTCCTTTTCAGTTAGTTTATTCATTTATTAATGGAACTGCTTAAAGTTAAGTGTATTGTGTCTGAATCTCAGATTCTGATCCAGCACCTCTGTGGTAACGTCAAAAGCATTTTTAATCCTATAACCAACTTCGTTTTGTAATTAAATGGGTGCAAAGGTTGAAGATTTTGTAATTTATGAAAGACCTGTAAGCAGAACCACTTAATTCACCTTTTCCACTGAATCCATCATATTAGTCTTGCCTTTGCAAATTTTTCATAAACTGTAACATAATCCAGGATGCATAACATGCATTAATTCCATGAAAAACAAGATGTAAGAACTTCCAGTTCATTTGCTTTTCTTAAACTCAATGAAGCTTTTCTTTGAGAACTCTATGCTGATGGGAATCAAGCTTGATTAATTGTAGCTGTCCATAGCAGTTGGATTGCAGCTAAAAAGCCGTGGGTGACTAGGGGAAATATAATTAGAAGTAAAGCTACTTTTACTGTAATTGTTCACAGTTAAATTAACAAAGATCTAATGTGCTCATTTTTTCAAAGGGTGAACCAGGTTTCATAGGTCCACAGGGAGAACCTGGATTACCAGGATTGCCAGGAACAAAGGTATGCTTTACATTTTTTCCTTATTGCATGTGGCTTATTTCATAACAAATTAATTCAAAACCTAATCCTTAGCCCAGACTGAAACACGTTCACCCACCCATCCGTTAAAGTCAAATTGAACTTATGTGGGAGTAGGAATCATAACCAGAATGAGAGAATTATCAGAACACACCCTAATTTAAAATGTCAAGTTATTTTAAAAGTGTGGAACCTAAGAATTAATTATGTTCTTACAGCTCTAGTTTCCTCCACATAGTTAAAAGTCGCTAAATCAGGGCTAATTTATGCTAGCTTTCTCACCTTAACTTCAGTTTGCCAGTTATATCTTAGGGCAGTAGTGCCTAAGGAAATAATGTTTTTTCTTTACTTTGTGTCTGTTCTTTGATGACTGAAAGGAACTAAATTAAGTGAATAAAGTGTTTCTTTAAAAAAAATAATGACAGCTGCAGGGGAAACCAATGGAAACTTCACTCCAGGACAAATTACAGCTTCAGGGGGTTAATATTTCTTGGAATCATGTTGGGAAAGAATTAAATTTGGCCTCCGTACCCCATGTAGTCCCTCCGTTGCATGGCCCCCCGATGGCCACCACTTACATTTTTAAAGCATACATGTTAATTCGTGCAATTAATAGCACATCTCATTTTGCCCTAAGATCTGTGTGCATTATTATAAATACAACCTAAGATGTTATTCTAAACCTGATTGAATAAGTGACCGAAGAACTATCTTAGTTCAGTTAGTACATGATACACTTGGATTTAGAAATTCTGCATTCCATTTTCCCTTCATTTCTAAACTTTCAAGATGTTGAGCGGTCACTGGTTGCAGTAAGTATGCTAACAGTAAGATATTAGCAGTTAGTTGGCCCATGTGTGAGTAGAATGCTGAACTAGAAGGACCTTGGTCTGATCCAGCATTGATATTATATTGTTTAACATATTTTGAGCTGTAAGAAGAATCTAAATTTGTCCAGCACATTTACCAATCACTGTAGGACAATTTCCTATCTTCTGGTTATTGGAAAGTGTTATGCAGATCTAGGAAGCTGTAAAATGCCACTGACCTGAAATGCTTCTCTAATTTCTTTTTTCTTTTCTGTGTTTTATACACATATTTAACCTATTGTGTTTCATGACAGCTTAATACTGACCAGTTAGATGAAATAGCGGAAAGCATCCACTTCTGGAACGTAATTTATTTGTCCAGAGAACAGTTTGCCACTGTATTTTGCTGATCAGTTGTCAGCTTGAAATATGTTCTGATGTTAATTCTCTTTCATTTTTCATAAAACAGCTTGGCACCACACCAGGCATTCTGTAAAGTTTCTGTGCGTGTGTGTTGTGATTTTTGGCAGGGTGAAAGGGGAGAAGCAGGGACTCCTGGGAAAGGTGAGCGAGGTGAGCCAGGAGCTCCAGGGCCAAAGGTCAGTCTGGTTTAATTTTGAAAATATTCAGCATGCATTTTGGAGCTTTGTATTTTTATTGTGTGTGTGTTTAAAAGAAAACCTGTCAGTGGAGATTTTAGAAAGCTAAAAAGATTGAGAAGGCTAAAAAAGTGTGATTTAGGGTGCATTCCTGAAATGATTTAACTTGATATCAGTCCTGTTAAGGTGTGGTGTGGTCTGCTCAGAAACCCTTTATGTAAACTGAAATATCTAGTATTAAAACCAAACCTGCAACCATGTGTACAGTTTCTTATTCTTAATTGTCATATTGAAATAAATGGGCCATATCTAAGTATCAGACTTAAGGTTTTGGCTACTGCAGTATTTCAAGTACAGCAAAATCAGCTTTAGGGTAGGAGAAGGGAATTATTCTTAGATTTATGTAAGTCTATAGGACAATTCAAGTGAAGAACTAGGTTTGCAGTAGTTACTTGTACATGATACTTTCCTACCCTTGATCTGGCATATGTGGGCAATTTTATTTGGAATCGGATCCATCTGCAGTGTAATCCAAAATACATTTGCAATGGGATGCCAGATGGCAAATCCTATGTATAGCAATGAATACACACCAATATTTTCCAAATAATTCAAACTTGGGTGGGGGTATTTGAATTTCTTTGGGAATGGAAGCTGAAAATGTGGCAAATGTGGAATCATACTGTACAGAAGTATGGGAAACAAGCAAAAAGAGTTGCAGTCATTACTTTTTCATTAGAGTTAGCATCATTACTGTTAGATGCATTCACTATTTTTTCACAGCCCTGTTAATGAACTTCTCGAATACTGTGTGCTCAGTGGTTCTGCTCTTTCTGATGATGCATTTATTAGTTCATTCACATAAAAAGGCAGGAGAGAATAGAAAAAATTAAAGTCGGTGCTGAAAAAACCCAGTGAATTATAGCTGTGTTTGGGTTTAAGCAGAGAAGTATTTGTACTTAGAACTAAGACTGCATGCATTTTTCCCCACAACTAGTACTTGGCAATACTGCATCATGATCTAACATGATCTCTGGGGGAAGGGCGGTGTTCAGGGAATATAGGAAGTTGCATGGGAATTGTCTGATGCATAAACTGAGGAGTTTACATGGAGGGTCCAAATCATCTTCAAGAATACTTTTTAATCCTTTAAAATTTCCTTTCAGGCTGTTCTAGTAAACAAACAATTGTAACCTCTATCTATTAATATTAAATCATTCGGTATCCTTGTAGGTCATTAATCCTATCATATAGAAGCATAATAGCAATTGTTTTAATATAGTGTTTCTACTGCACTTTTAACTACTGGTGGGAAATACTAATTCCTTTTACTTCACTCTCTCTTTGCTCCGTCCTCTCCTCTGCTGTCCATCATGCAGGGAAGGTCAGGAGAGTCTGGCACTAGAGGCCCAAAGGGGTCAAAGGTCAGTAGTAAGCAAATTTTGCTTTTATGGATTTTAATGTGCTGCAGAGATTTTTTTTTTATCCAGTGAATTTGTTTGTTTTTATATGTGTTTATGCTGCCTATCAGCCAAATAGTTACCAGATGATTTACATTAAAATAACAATAAAACAGTACCCAATTACACATCCATGAGCACAAAAGACCAGCCCCTAAAAGAAGTAGAGCCTAAAGCATCTTGCCTGTCACCAGTAAGTAGACACCAGGCAAGCCTTTCTGGGGAAGGAGTCCTTCACACAGCTAGAGAGGTTTCCTTGTAATCATTCCTTGTTTCACATCAGATGCAGGAAAGCTTCCACTGACTTCGCAGTACACAGGCAGGTTGATGGGAAATAAAGATCCCTCTAGGTATGTGAAGTCCAAGCAATGTAGGCTTTACAGGTACGTTGTAGAGCATTGAATTATATTTAGAAGTGATCCAGTAGTAAGTCCAGTTCTTTAAGCATGGCAGTAAGGTGATCTCAGGGTTTAACTCCTGTTAATTCAGCACAGACACTCTAGTAATAACACTATTGAGGTGCATGTTTATTGGCCCTCATCTAGCTCAGCACAGATTCCAGGCACTAGTCCAGCACTTCTACTGTCTCACCTGCCTTAGGACTTCTAAGCACGAGAGGTTCAACCCAACACTGTCTGGAGGCTTCTTCTGTTTTTGTAGCAGAGAAAAAAGTAACCTTTACTTGGGGCTTTTTCTGGGGGGTTTTCTGCCTTTCTATAGATTCTGTTAGCCAACCATATATCAGTGCTGTGATATGATTGCAGTATAGTAGACTTTCCTCTTTTCACGAGGCATTTGCTCCAGTTGGTCCCAATTTGACAGGATAAAAGACCCACAAACTCCTGTGATTGAGGCATCATGAGCACACAATAAATACCTCATATAGAGAAGCCCTTAGAACAAGAAAAACATCAGAGTTAGGTGTAATCTGCATGAAAAAGAAAGAAAAATCAAATGCCCAGATATAAGATGGAGATGCCTAGGTCTGTAATCAAACTGAATATGAATCAACAGTGTGATGTGGCTGCACATTATTTTAGGTTGCATCTATAGAAATGTAGTTTTAAAATCATGGAAAGTGACAGTTGGACTCTATTCTAAACTGCTCAGATCCCACCTCTCATACTGTGTCCAGTTCCAGGCATCCCAGTCCAAGATTCAGATAATTCCAAGCTATTTCAGAGAAGGGCAATGAAGACGATTTAAAAGTCTGAACACTAATTGCTATGAAGACCAGTTGAACGAACTGGGTACAATATTTCTAGCTTTGAAAAGAATAAGATAAGAAGGACATATGATAGTGCTTTTCAAGTATCTAGATGGCTGTCACACAGAAATGATCAAAATCCCATTTTGTGTCAACCAGGACTACAGGACATGAAATTATAGGCTTGAGTTACAGGAAGGCAGATTTTGATTAAAAATCCGGAAAAACTTCCTAGGAGACAGACAATGGAACCAATTGCCTGGGGAGATGGTGGGCTCTCTTGCAAGGGTGTTGTCCAAGCAAAGACTGGACAGCCATCCATCAAGGATGCTTAAATACAGATTCCTGAATTGAACTGAGGATTGAACATGATGGCCTAAATGGGCCTTCCAGTTCTATGGTTTTGTGTCTCATTTAGCCTCTTCCTTGCACCTTTTTTTCTGGTGACATGTTGTCTGTCTCGCTCCATCGTATCACTTTCTCACTTCTCTGCTTTTCTCTTTTTCACCCTCTCTGGCACACCTACTCCCTACCTGCTCTCTGTATGTACATCTCTCTTCCCTTCCAGAGGATTGCACTGCCTGGAGAAAATGTTCCATCCCAATACAATGCAATGTGTGTTCTTCTACTGCCAAAAAGAGAAAGTTATGATTGTCCCTCATATTCATTCCTGACTTTCACACACCCTTTCAGGTGTGAAGATCTGAGCTGACAATGGGAGTCCTAAAGGGTGTCCAGTCTTTGGCCTGTACTAATGGCTTTTGCATATTCAGTGGACTTATATCTACCCATACTTCTAGATAGACTCATGGTGCTTTTCTCTTTGTCTTTTCTTTAAATATGAAAACGTTAATGAGGAAACCTCAGATATTTAGCTATATTAACCAATATGATTTTTACCAGGGTGATCCTGGAGACAAAGGCGATTTGGGGACAATGGGGCCAAGGGTAAGTGACCATCACTTGCTTCGCTGTTGCATTTTGCCTTTCTCTGTAGCATGCAAGGTAGCTCACTTAAGCTAGAAAGAGGTAGCACCAGGGCCTGGCACATTGCAGACCTGGGATGGACCTCCCACACTTGCTATTTCATTTAAAAAAACATTCATGTATTGCTAATTGTGCAGATGGGGTCAATATTTTGGTTCTATAATCTAGACTGGGGAAGGGGGCATTTTCAGATCTGAGGACCCCATTCCTTTCTAAGGAACCTTTCAGAGATCACATACCAGTGGTAGGTCAGTCAAAGTTATAATGAGCACATATAAAATCCATTTCCATTTATACCCCACCTTGAGCACCATTTCTTTGATAGAAAAGCAGAGTACAAATCCAATCAATCAATTACTGGTGCATGTTCATTCACATGTCAATCACAAATCAAAAGATATAAGCTTGTTGCTCAGAGTTACATATGATTCAAAAATGGTGGAAATGGGGAAAAAGGTGTCAAGATTTGCAGTAATCCTTCATATCTGCATTAAAAACTTGGAGTTAGTTACCATTTCTACAAAGAGATAGAATTATCCTGACTGAAACCATACTGGAATAGGCAATTCAGAAAATCTTTTATGATGCTTTTCTCAAATTAGTTAGAATTAGTTGCAAATTAGTCATGTGTATATTGTATTCTTTGTTAAAATAATGTTTTGGGGCTTTGGGGATTTGGTGAAATGTTACAGGGCCCACCTGGACAAAAAGGTGATCAAGGTGCTACAGAAATCATTGACTACAATGGAAATATCCATGAAGCTTTACAGGTATTTAATTAGAACTTGTACACAAATTCAAATCTTATCTATCTTTCTTATCTAAAGAAATAGATATACAGTGGTACCTTGGCTCACGAACTTAATCCGTTCCAGGACTCTGATTGTGACCCAAATTGGTCATGAGCCAATTGGTTAAAGTTCCCCACAAGGTTCAATATAAATAAGGTTAATCCATTCTGAAGTCATTTTTTAAATCAGAAAAATGTGAATCAAAGTGACAACAACAAAGATCGCAGCCATCTTCTCCCCCCTCACCCAAGCAGGAGCATGGCCATCTCCCCGACCCCCAAGCACAACCGCGATCGCACTCCTCATCCCTGCATGTGCCCATCATTCCAGTACACTGGGGGGGGGGGGACGGGTGTGATCACAGGTGCACTGGGGAGGGAGTGATGGGTATGAAAGCGGGCACACTCGGGGCGGGGGGAGATGGTTGAGATCCCAGTTGCACTCCTGCAGGAAAGACGCATGCAGTCACAGGCGCACTCATGCAGGAAAGACAGGCGTGATCTCGGCCATCTCCCCCCCCCCCCCGCACAATCGCAGCCATCTCCCCACTCAGGGGGATGGGGAGATGGCTGCAATTGCGGTTGCCACCCAAGGCAGAGTTCACGACCTGAGTCAAAATTTTTATGACATTTTTGTTCGCAACCCGATTTGGCTGTGAACTGAGGCATTCATGAGCCGAGGTACCACTGTACTTCTCTTCCACCTCCAAAGACAGCTTTAGATACCTAAAAATTGTCTGAAATTGTACCTTCTTAAAACTTGTACTCCATATAGCCACACTTTTCATAAGTCTTTCAAACTTAAATCCAAGTCCTGGAACCTACGTGGCACCTTAACCTTTACTGGTTAATTGCAAATTGCTTATGGCATACTGCCAAGGGAGAGTGTGGGAATGACCTGTAGACTATAATAACCCATGCTTTTAGGAACCAACTTAAATTATTAGGGAGTAACCCCATTAAACATAGTGGGATTTACTTCTGAGCAAATCCTCACTTGCTCTCTGCCCACCCCCACCGCCAGAGCAGTACCATGCAGGACAGAGACTCCAGGATGGTGGGCATTGTCTTGCTCTTTACTATGTCATAGTAAATTTAGGAGCCTTTAAGGTGCCACAAGACATGTGGCTTTGGAACACAAAAGAGCAAGAAGCCCTATCCTCCTCCCACATCCATTCACCTTTCTCCGGCCAAGTGCAAACCCCTGATGCCAAGAGGACCATTCACCTGCCCACCATAGATCACCCCCTGTGGAACTTCCCATACAAAGAAGGTGGGAGAAATTGACAAGTTCTTTGACAAGTATGGAATATGGTTCCACTGGACTAATAGAAGTAATGTGAGGATAGGATGAAACAGACAAGGTTTCAAGCAGGGAATATGCTTCTGTGGGGTTTATTCCCAGGTACAAGTCACATGGAATAAATATATCATTATAAAGTAGTACTAGGTGTAGAATAATTATGCAATAATGGAACATCCTCTGGTTTCCTGATGCTAACTGAGAGGTCATAGGATGACCTCCAAGCACTAAGTTCCTGCATCTTTGCAGCTGGTATGGAAAGAACTGTGCTGACTACCTCCTCTGAATGTGCCTACAAAAGAGAGAAAGGGGCATTTTCCCTGGGAGACTCAGTCCTGCTCCCCAGTGCTTTATCAAGATGGCTGAAAACAGCGGGGATTATTTCTGTTTGTTAGATTTGTATCCTGCCTTTTTTTCTTTTTTAAGAACTCAGAACAGCTTACATCATGTTCCTCCTCCAGCTCTCAATCTTATCCCCACAACAACAATCCTGTGAGGTAGGTTGGGCTGAGAGTCCATGCCTGGCCCAAAGTCACCCAGTTGGCTCCATGGCTGAGCAAGGACTAGCATCCATGCTGGCTCTCTGGCACTGTCACACCTCATTCAGAGCATCAGATGCACATAAACCTCCATATTCAAAAGTTTACTTTCACTCACAGTAGAGATGATAGGATTGCACCTAAATGTATTAAGCAGCCATGGGTATGCTTGAGAACTAATCCATATAAAAATAAATTTAATTGTAAAATATGTTCTTTGCTGGTGAGAAAAATGAATTTAAAACTCAGAGCAGTCCACTTTGCAAAATACATGTGGTGGTATGATCTATGAACTGAAACAACCCTCTTCACTATGTCAGCTCCCTGTCAAGACTGAACTACAAGGGGATGTGGGGAGCTATTCTTCAATCCAGCTCTCTAATTCCCTCCCTTTCACAGATTGCCAAAAGCTAAGTCTGAATGATTTCTAGTATTGACAAAGGCTTTTTATTAAAGTAAGTGTTTAGTGGTCAAGGATAAGCAAGGATTTATTAAGCATTCTTGTGTTCCTTTGATACTGCTTTATAAAGATGGTTATCAGTCCACGGCTTTCAAGGAGCAGTGCAATGTATACCTGTAAATAAATAAGCATAATAGAGTTAAAGTTATTTTTTATGGCTAAGCAGAATTGATGTGCATGAACAGACAGGCATCTGTATTGAGAATTCTGTGCATGAACAGACAGGCATCTGTATTGAGAATTAACAAAGTTTAGTCTTAGATTGTTATGATAATCTTGATGATGCAACTCCTTTATAGTAGAGAGGGATGATAGATAACAGCATAGTCACTTGTATAGCTGCATAGTAGAATATTTATTTATAAACTGCATAGGAAATTCTGTATTCATTTACTCTTTCAGTATCACTGTGAATGACCAACACCACCAGCAGCAAAAATGTAACTAACACATTTGAGTTAGAGCTTGGTGCTACATTTTACTTTTCACTGGGGGACTGTGGGTAAGATCCAATGATGATCCCCTGCAGCTAGTCGGAGGAATCTACAGTGTGTGAAATTCCTGCTTGTGGTAGCTACCTCGGCCCAATTAAGGGGGAAGGGTCCCCCAAAGTCTCTCATAACACAGCTCACCCCACTCGGGGGGTCTCTTGACTTGCAGGCCTGGCTCAATGCCAGCAGCCATTGTGAATATTGAGGATGCCGTGAGCAGGTACTGCGACTTATTGGGAAATGTCTTCTTGGCAGAGTAGGTTGTTGCCATGGTTAAGTAATTTCCCCCAATCTCAAACCAGCCCATGGGTTATGAGTGGTTTGTTAACCATGGCAACAATCCATCCTCACCAGGTTTGTAAGTCATGAAAGCTGCCTGCCATGGCTTGAATGTTCACAATGGCCACTGACAATCAGCTCAACCTTCATTCAGCAACCATACAGTCCACCCTTCAGTGTAGCATTTTTGGGAAGCCCTGGGAAGGAGTGTGGAATCATTATTCCACAGATTGAAATGTCAGTTCAGGAAGACCAAAGGGAGGTGCCCTGCATTTGGACAAGGGCCTTGTTGATGAGCTAAAATCCCTGGTCAGTTGGCTGTCTAGAAGAGAACTGTCATGGCCACACTTTCATTTTAAGTCAATGGCCAGTCTTTGCAAGTAACATTCTAGTCTTTACCATCCAAACTCCTCTCTGTTGAACTTACTACTGTTTAAGCTTGCTGAGATTGTTCATGTGAACTGTCTATCTACTTTGGACCTTTGTCTCTGGAACTTTTTATTTTTAGGATAAAGAGTACTGCTGTACTTTTCATAAACATTTAATTCTTGTTTCCTGTTGATTGAAGGCTATTGTATCTTCAATAGCCTAGAATTGTTAAGTGGCTTGCCAGATCCTGATTCCTTATTTTCTGTTCTGATCAGTGTAGTGGAAGCTGTGGTCATTAAAGTATCTGCATATTCTCTTAACCCATTTATTGTTGAGCTTCTAGTGAATATTTCAAGGCTGGGATCGACCTCTCACTGTGTGAATTTGTTTAGGTCTTTTTTTTAGAATTCTTGTTTTTTATTACCTGGAATGCCTTACACCAGGAATTATTCAAGCCCTTGCTGGTATTCTAGCCATACAGAGTGGAACTACTTATGGAGTCTGTATGTCATCAGCAATAAGATTTCTGAAGAGTGTAGACTTTAAGTTTTACTACAGATTTGCTACAGTGAAAGAGTTTCACTCACTCCCAGTGTCCTGGGTCAGAATGTCAGAATGTGTGCTTCAAGGATCATGGCAACTATAGCAAATGAGAAGGATATATCAGTTGCTCGTGTGGAACTGAAATTAGTAGGATTATACTAATTAAGTGGTTGGCCCCGATTGGAGGTCACTGTCCAGACTTTGTGAAAAATGCATAGAAATTTAATATACTATAATATCATGTTTAAAGAAAACACCTATTTTACTGCAATGAAACCCAGTGTACTAAGAATTTGAGAGTGAGTAATGTTATTTTTACATGTACTGGTGTCTATGCTTCTTAAGTTCTCTGTTTCAATTAGTGACAGTCAGCGAAAATATGTGTAGGCATACACTGTAAACATGTCCCATTCAAAATCCTGATAAGTCTTTGGGACTTAAAATGTTACTGCTAGATCTATTTTTTGTTAAAGGTACAGAATTGGAACTTAGATCATCTTTTATTTCTCCAAGACAGTCAAATGCTTCTCTCAAACTGCCCCCAAATTCTGTGAAACCCATTACTAAACAAGCAAAGTATTTTATTTCAAACTGAACATCTGGTAACTTTGTCTTCTGTTAATACATTTTGCCAACAGAGGATTACCACCCTAACTGTCACGGTAATTCCTATTGCATGACTTACGGTGGTTTGTAGCTGTTTTCTTTTCTGGTGTTGCATGTGCATAAGTCCTGTGCTTTAGAATGTGTCTTTGTTCATCAGATATTGACCCTGTTTATTGCTACATAATGTGTTATCAAAGGATGCTTTGTTGAAAACTAGGGCTGCAGTTCTGCTCCCATTAAAATAATAACAAATTTCCTATTAATTTCAGAAAGAGAAAAAAGGGTTCAGACTCTTGCTAGCATTGGCAAATGTTTATGTCCATGAATCAGTGTATCTCCTGCTTCTTTTAGTGGAAGTTTTTCAATGCAAGAATTGCGCACTTGAATTTTTCAGGGTAGCATTAAAAAAAGTTAGCTAGAGCAGTTACATCTTAGAAGATACAGACCACACTTTCTACAGAAAAAGAGAATTATTCAACCAGTAGAATTCTTTTGGATCTAAATGACAACAGTCCAGAATTTAGATTGCAAATGCAACTTTTTTCAATTATTTATTTTCCTGTTCAGAATCAATAATATTAATAGAGGGAAGGAAACGTATTAGTCTCAGAAATAGTAACTATTGTTAAAATAAATTTCAGTTAAGCAAGTTGAACATTTCCCTGCATTTCGAATTCTCACCCTTAATGTTGAACATTATCTTTTCTGCCCTCTGCTTTCATTAGCCTCAAGAGGGGCATGTTGGGCTGGAATTTGGTAGTATAAATACAGTGGTGCACCTAGGAGATATGGATATGTAAGCCTTATAGGTTCTGTGTGGTTTCTGTAAGGTAATTTGCTGTTTCTAGTATTTCAGTGAAGCATCCTTTCTTTTTATCAGCAACTCACATATCTGTTGTGTACATGATGTTTCAGGGTCAGTCCCTCGTTTATCTCAAGTAGCAGAGCTAGGAGAAATTAGTAGAGAACACCAGGTTGAAGGAGGCCATTGCTTAATTAAACATAAAACAGTTAGCTATGTTCACCCAAGGCTCTGTGCTGAAACCACAAAGGAACTTTATATAAAAGCCACCGAAACTGATGTGCACAGTGCTGAAAAGGGGATGGGCGGGGCGGGGGGAGATTTCTGCTGAAATCAACATACTCAAAAAACGAGGTGAAAACCTTTAGGTTCTCCACATTTGCAGTTTCCATCTGTAAACTAGGATAGCCTATTTGTGAGCCTTCACTTTTCCTTTTTCTCTTCTTTTTAAGCCATTTTTGCCTCACACAAACCCCTCACTTTTGGTGACTTTAAACCCCTCAAATTTTTTTCTACCTAGTTTGTGGAATGCATGCATGTGTGTATAGGTTTTATTGTTTACCTGTCTTCTACTAATTTGTCTAAACCTACATAAAAGTTCGTTCAGGCAACAAAATCCCCAATGTTGAATTTAGGAGGGGAAATGGCTTCAAGAAGATTTAATTCTCAGCATAGAAATGGAGGTGCTTAACCCCAGTCACCTTTCCACTGCAAGCGTTTCAATCCTTTTTCATCCTTTATATAATCACAATGTCCAGGAGAACCTGGATTTAAAGGAAGTAGCCCTAATACTTTGGCACAGGGCAGTCTACTGCAGTGAGCTGCTTCTTTTTTTCCTTCTGATTTAGCTTCAAACAAGGGACCCTTGAAAATCAATACACAACAGTAAAGCATGGTCAGGCCAGTTGCTACCACCCACACTATTGTGCTGTATTGCTTCCATTCTACCCCTGCCTAGAAAGTTCCAAATAACTCATCCTTGCAGCCACAAGTGATAGCTAGGTGTGGGCACATGACCTGCATCTGCATCAATTTGGTTTGCTCTTCTTTGAAAATCAAACTGGATATCTAGTTTTGTTTGCAGAAAACTATATACTTTGTAAATTAGGAGCTGGAATTTCACTGGACAGTTAACTTTTATAATAATTTGTGTTTGCTTGTTTAATAACGTTATTGTAAATTTTTAATGTAGCATATATTAATACTGTCTGTCAATAGAAGGTCAGTGATTGTCACGTATGTTATTGATTCTTCACTGTTATGGTGTTCTTTGTGATGCTCATTTTGTTATTAACCAATATTAGAATATTTATGTCTGAGAGCTAGAGTGCTAGAGTAAAACTGAATTGCTTCTTGTGTGCAGGGTCCTCCAGGACCACCTGGACCCCAAGGATTGCAAGGGCCAAAGGTGAGCTAACAAATGTTCTTTATTTGGCTATCAGCATGTTAGAACAAAGACCTTGGTAGTTTTCACTGTAGTCTTAAAGTATAAACAGTATTAAGGGGAATGTTATAAACGGACGTTTCTGATCTTTCTTGTGGCTGTTCCAGTGGAGGGAAAGGGGAAAGATGTGAGCCCATGGTTTGAGCAGACTCATTAAACTATGATGTTTATCAAGTGATAACAATATAGTGAAAATAATTATGTTGGATTTTCACTTTTCAGGGTGAACCTGGATCTCCAGGATTACCAGGTGCTGATGGGGAGCAGGTACTTGAACAACTCCTCTTATGACTGATAAGATGAATCTGATAATATATTGCTCAGTAAAAACCAAGGACAACTTATTCAGTTATAGAAAATATATAATATATTTAAAAAATACAAAATATAAAAATAAATAGAATAGAATTATGAGTGTTGCTGGTGACATTTCCCTTTTCCTATTTTCTTTTCATTATCCTTTGGATGTGAAAAATACAGCCAAAGATAGGTGATAATTAATGCCAATTAATAACCCAAATATATTGCTGGATGTACTGTGTGTTCCAGCAATGTAGGATTCATTTTCATGAATGTGCTGTTTCAGGGGCTTAAAGGCTCAAGGGGTGATATGGGTGACCCCGGAATACCAGGAGAAAAAGGAGGAATTGGACTTCCAGGATTGCCAGTAAGTTACTTGAAAATGCCTTTGGTAGGAGGCAGCAGCATTTTGATGTCCATTCAGTGTCTGCTTCTTCCCGAGGTTAAATATGATGATCATCATTATTGTACTTTTTAATATATATATATATATATATATAAATATGGATATATATATGGATAGGGCTTCCTTTAACGGAACATTTAAAGCCTATCTTTCCAACATGAATGAAATACAGAAGGTGTCTAACAATAGAGAACAACAGGGAAGCTGGCGCAGCATGTGCTCTACAGGTCCCAGGTTCAGTTCCTGGTATATCCAGATAGAACTGAGAAAGACCCCATCTGCAACCTTGGAGAGAGACTGTCACTCTATGTAGACAATACTGAACCATGCAGAACTGTAGCCCATTGTAAGAAGGCAGATTCTTCTGTTTCTAATATAATTAACTAAATCAAAATTAGTCAGGGAATTGCTGTAAACATATTTAGGATTGTCAGGATGGAGGGTTTTATCCAGAGTTAGGGATTGGATAATATGCAAAATAAATCCTGACATCTACCATAGAAATGGAAGTAATGTCATGAAAATGTGTCCTTCAACTGGACAAAATGAATGATGAGATGAAAATGTTATTCAATAATCAATTAACAATTTTGTAGGGATCAAATGGCATGAAAGGAGAAAAAGGAGATGCTGGCTTGCCAGGACCTCAAGGTCCCTCTGTAAGTCTTGCCGTGCTATTTCAGTGCTTTCATAAATGTATAGTCTTGATTCTCTCTATATATCTTCTCCATAAAAGCCAATAGAGAAAAACAAGGTGATGCAAAGGAATATTGCAGTAGTGTTGCTGGCAGCAAACTCAGGGTATCAAGATTTAGTGGCAATTATTCTATGAATGATCTGACTTCTTAACTCACCTGCAGGTACCTCATCTCTTGAACTAGAATGCCCACTTTTGACAAATATTTATATGCACCACTTAAGACCCACTGTAGTTTATTAAATGATCTGACAGATACATACCTTTTATCATATTTAGACTTCGATTAAGTAAGCCTCACTGAACTCAGTGAATATACTTCAGCGTAAGAGTGCAGTTTTAAAGATGTACAGAGTAATAGAAATGAATGGCATTTTCTAAAAAGACAGGCGAGCATATGTTGGTCTGAACTGATTATATTGATTTTATATGTAGATCATAGGACCACCAGGACCTCCGGGCCCCCATGGTCCACCAGGGCCTATGGTAAGTCTTTCCAGCCATCCCTGTTTTAATGTTTCATGAATTAAAGCAACATGTCAAAGGTGGTCACACTGGAACATCTATCAATTCTTGGGATCAGGCAAAGAAAAAACTATCTTTCCAGAGGTTGTGGAAGGAGGATATATCAGGGGCTTGATGGACAGGTAAGATTAGGAGAAATGCTTGTAGAAGGGGCTTCAGGTATGGGTCTGATAACATAGGTGTACTTGTGGAATGCAAAGTATGACATCGGAACAGCAGGGGGCAGTTCTCAGAATTACTCCCACAGATTATTTGGAAAATAGATTGGAATGGAAAAGCTGTTTCAGAGTTCATTCTATTTGTATTTTGCTGTTAGGAACTAGCAAGCTAATTAAGGATTTTCTTTAATAAACCTTTGAACTGCTAGAACCCCTACTCTGTATTAGAAAGAATACTCTCCATACAAGAAATAGTGATTGAATGTGTAATGATTGAATTTTCATTTTTAGGGACCTCATGGATTACCAGGTCCAAAGGTAAAGAATCCAGGCAACAACTGACTTCAATATGTTAATTGGTTATGCTGTCATTCCCATGAATCATGTCCAAGCATGCACTCATGTTTTGTCCTTTGTCTCACTTTTTTGTTAATTTATGTGTGTATATATAAAGATATAAATATATTCTTAAACCTTTAAGCAGCTGCTTAGAATAAAACATAGCATACCTTTAAATGTAAGAATTTATGGCAATTTTCTGTGTCTGTTCCACATCACCATAAGCTGAATTAGCTGTCTATAATGTTAATTACAGAAAGCCAGTAAAAACATCTAGTTGTCTGGTGAGAATTTCAAGTTATACCATTTTGAACTACCTTTCACTTAAACTTAGAACAACAGAGGATGAGTGCATTATGGATAAATCATTCCCAGATATAAAATCATTTCCAGATATAAATTTCTTCTTCACCTCTGTCTTTCATGTCTTCTAATACTTCCTATTCATGTCCCCCTTTTCCCTTTCTTTGTAATAACATCATGCTGATTGTTTTTGTCCATGTCCTCCTATTTTTTAATGTGCTTAAATAGATTCCTAACAAGCCAAGTCTATACCAGCCAAGAGTCCCTTGCTACTGCTGGAAGCATTATTCCAGATGAATGGAAAATATGTGTGTGCACACACACATACATTTTAACATCAGATTGCTTCGTAGCCATAAACAGAAGGCATGTGTATATTAAAGAACTTGGTGTAGCTTAATTCCATCATCTGGCTCTTCAAACTCTTTACAGCTATACAATCTTATATTTAAATTTGTTTTATTCTTTTTTATTTTAAAAGAGAAGTAAAATGAGTTTTAGCCATAAGCTGGCACAGGAGAAGCATGTGCTACAATTTTAAGTCATGCCAGTGCTAGGTCTAATCTGACAGAACTCATTGACAGTCTCCAGACCCTAAACCTTGCAGTTTTTGTTCCTACTGATTTACTGGTGCAATCCTATACATATCTACTCAAAGGTATAAATCGTATACTGCTCTTTTAAAACCCAGTAATTATAACACTTGAGGTTTACAGGGTACTAATTCAGGCAAAATAAAAATGTATATGGCTTGTCTGCTTCTTTAGAATTTATATTGCCCTGCATTCAGCAGGATTGGTGTATTACTGCTGTGTTTCAATTCACTGTTGGATTGGTATAGGAAACGGTATACTTAGAACATTTCCTACCCAAGCTTGCTTTAAATGCTTGGAAAGGCACAGTATAGCTTTTAGCTGAGCTGAAGCTAATTAAACTGCCCCAGCTTTACATGAAGTATCTTGAGAATTACAATTTTGAAGTGGGCTTGTAATTATTTGTTAGCAATTGCTAGCTTCTTCAAAGCAATGGAATCCTGGCATTGCAGTTCTCTGCATATTTATCTATATAAATAGTTGAAAGAGAGAAAGCTATCATGCCAGTGTTCTTATGCCAGGGGACCTTGACAATTAAGTAGGCTCGAGACTGGTTTGAATGTTAGGGAGGGCATTGCCATCACCATCACACAAGAAGACGGTAGCAATGCTCTTGAATAACTCCCACAAGGCTTGAGCAGGAGAACTAGCCAGTAGTGGATTGTTGCCTCGCAAAGGGGACATACTCTCAAAAAGCCTAGGCAAGGCTATAACATCTGGTTTTTAATATAGCATCTCTAGAATATTCATAAGCATGAAAATGTATTAACTTCTATTAGCAATAAATGTAATCAGCTTTATGGAGATCGTTAAATCATGGTTCCTTAAAATACATTTCCCAGTGCGTCACAATCTTCCTCTGGTAAATTAGGCATGCTTAAAGGTTTAGAATATCTTTCCAAGCAGTACTGTGTGTTTCAGTTCACCATGAGAAGAAGCCACACAAGGATCACAGTCCACCGCTGAGCAGCTCATACTTTTGATTGGTCAAATTAAATTTCCCTTTTCTGATTTATTTAGCAGTCTTGGCATCCATCAGAATAAGCAAGTAGTAATTTCAATTATAAATGAGTTAGGTTGTTTAGGAATGTTGAGATAATTATAATATGAATATGAAAGATAGTTTTACTATGTATATCTATTTTAATGTGAATCACTATCATTTTCTATATGTGTTTTACTATTTGGATGAAGAGGAAATTGTACAAATAAAATTAATCAACAGAACCAGTTGTGCTAAAGAACAAGGGTTTGTGCCCATGTCCTTGACTGGCTCTCTTCTGTCCCTGCTTAAATAATCCTATCAGCACCCTCCAAAATAGCATTTATACTTTTATATTTAGGGTGAACCAGGGTTAAATGGTCTGAAAGGATTGAAGGGTGAACCAGGTCACAAGGGTGACAGAGGGCCCCTTGGTCTTCCAGTAAGTAAAATACTTATTCAATTTCAGTGCAAATTGCAAACTTCTCTTTCTATTTTCAGCCAAAAACTCTGGTTTACTCAATAGCAAATTTAAGCTATTTCACGTTGAAACAGAAAATCAGTCTTGTTTTGTTTTTATCCAGACACTGTTCTTGTATCATCCCATACTGTTTTGTCAGCTGTTGGTTTCTTGTTTTCCCCTTTTTCTTTTCTTTTTTTTTTTTTGTTATTTGTAGTCAACAGCATTATGGGTTCCGATCTTCCATATTATGTCACTGTGTAAATATTGTGTGATATTAACTATATATATAGATATAACCATATATAGAAATATATGGTTATCGTTGTAGTGGTGTGGGCGTGCATGTGCCCTGTGATTCCATAAATGTTGCTCAAAATCAAAGTTTATAACAAAGTGTTGGAACATTTCTTTAAAGTAATAAGATACCAGTTCATGTAATTTTGTGTTTTTGCTTTTGTTCATGGATATGGGGACGTTTCTGATTTTATTATTTTGAATAGTATTTGTTGCTAGTACTTTTCCATGTCTTCAATGAAAATTCATTGGAAACATATTTTTGCATGACATTGCATTAAGTGATAAGTGCTGAGAGGAATAACAATATTTGGTTTCAGGGAGCCTCATAATTCCCTGAATACAAACAAATACTTTAATTCTCCATTTCAGCAAAAACATCACAGAGTGAAGTGGGAAATAGTCAAAGTTATTTAAAATAATTGAGACAGTAATTGGGAGGTAATCCTACCAAAGTGAACATTTTAGAAGGGTATTCAGTAGGAATTTAGCAAGTACTTAACTCTCTTCCATTGACATCACTGGAGACTTACCATAGCTAACTTTGCCTGGATCCTTTTTCAACGTTTTTAAAATACTTGATGGGCATGGTAAAATGTTGTTTTTTTCTAGTGAATCCATCTAACTTCTTCCATTCTGGTTATAGCAGTAACTTTTTATATCTGTTAGCTCTAGATTTATCTTCTTTACATAATATCCACTAGGGGTCATCTATTTTCAAGAATGCCAAAATGAATTTTTCAAATGTTTTGGACAAGATGGGCAAAATCCGCTTTGTTTTGAAGTGATTTGTAAAAGAGCCTCTGATTTTAATGGATTAACATTGCACTAATGCAAACAATCAGCAATTTGCACAAGCAGTTTGAACTTGTTTGCACAAGAAATGTTATACATTAAAAACAGTGAAGAAACAGAAATAGTCGTTAAAAGTATAGGCGTTTTTCAGGTAGTATAATGCTATTTTCACAGGAGCCCATGTTTTTTCCTGATACCCCACCCTTTTCCTCACCTTTACATTCTGATTGTGAATATACGATTAGACTTCTGTGTTAAATTATTTATTCCCTTTGTTTATGTTTCATGTTATAAGTTTCCCTTACTAACTTATGAATAAGGGTATGTTTACAAAAAAACCCAGGATAACATGTGAGATTTGTAGCACTAATGCATCTAGAGACTCATTGTGATCTCATAAGATTAAAGAATTCTACTAAAAAATTTAAGAGAGATCCATAGCAAAGGGAATCAAAATTTGATTCTTCATGTTATGTAGAAATTATAACTAACCTCATGCAGTACTGTGATACTTCTTCCAGAACCCTGTCACCATGTGTATTCTGTATATAAATAGAAGGTGTACTTGTTCATCATCACCACATACTAATCTCACATTCTTGTCCTTCGTGTTATCCCTATCATCTATGCTTCCACTTAACCGTACAGGGAGCATCTGGCTTAGACGGAAAGCCAGGACCCCGGGTGAGTCCCTTGTGTTCCTATGTCGTACTACACTACCAAATCTACATGCCTCACTTCCAAACTCTTCACACCAGACAGATTTGTCTTGTTTATCGTGTGATGCTGGTTCTACTGTTGTAAAAATGACTAGAAACCTCATGTTCTGCTTGAAGGTAATGAAGGGCTAGCAGTCTTGGAGAGGGAAAAAGCTTTAGACTATAGGGTTTTGCAGTGTGAAATCTTGACTGCATCTAGCCCCATCTAGACCTACTTGCCACATATGGCTAGTGCACTTGGTTAAAAGGCTCCATGACAGGTGGTGTGATGCAAGTTCAGACTAGAATATACTCACTAAAATCATCAAGCAGAAAAAATGACATGTGAATGTAATGCACCACCCTTATCTTTTCTCAGTGTAAATTGATCTGCTCACAGCTTCAGAATCCATCTTTCAAAACCAGTGTTAGCAAAATTGATATTTAAGTTCAATGTATGGTCCAGCCTTCTTTTTATCTGGCTTTCAGTTTTCCCTCTGGCTAAAGCAAGAGAAAGCTCCAGTGTGTGATGTTCAGAGCAAGCTCAGATTGATAACTTAGATCACCTGTATTAAGCACTGTTAGAAGGTAGTAGAACTTATTATGGTTCTGTCTTCAGCTCTTCTGAAATGGATCCAGATTTCTAATTATGGAACCATTAAGGAAGAGCATAGCTGTGAATTTACACTGTCTTCCATTAAGCCATCTTTCCTTTTGGGTCTTTATGTGCGTTCTGCATGATTTAAATAAAAATTTATTTGTCTACCTCCCTTTGTTTAACCCCTAACTCTGCCTAGAAGAATCTGCCTCTGCTGTTTAAAACTCTATAGATCAGCCAGTCTAAAGCTACAAAATAAATATAATTGATATGGGGAATAAGTGCTGTGGAATTTAACAAAATACAGGTGGGATTTTGAATTCTGCCAGAGGGATTTGGAGCTTAGTTGGCCTCACTACTAAAATCCAGTCCATATTCTCAACCCTTCATAGGAAACATGATTCTTTGCTAAATATAAACCTTCCATTAGGAATCGTCAACATTTTTTATCAGCTCCTGTATGTTTAAATTTTCAGGGTATGGATGGCCCCATTGGCCCACATGGCCCTGCTGGTCCAAAAGGAGACCGAGTAAGTACATGCCTAGCAACTTCTCCGATGTCTTTAAACATTGTGGAAAATGTATTTCCTTTACTCAGTAATATATGCAGTAGTGCATTTGTGTTGGTCTGCTAATGTACTTTCACAAAAATAATATCTAAGCAAAAACAATAATAAAACAGACAGAACACTATAAGGTTTAAATGTAATGATGCGTTAAAATGCACTTTTCTCTCACCGATGCATAAAAGGTTATTGAATTCTTGCTGATATTATTAATCTCTCATAACATATCATAAAGCAAAAATAACATTTGAAAGAATGGGCATGTATTTTACAGTAACCTAAACTGGGTGTAAGAATGAGATCTTATCCTAAAAGACAATACAAAGTCTAGGAGGTAGTTGTATATCTTGTCTTGAAGCTTTAAAATGGGTGATTGTTGTATATTCAGGTACATATTTCAAAAATTACAGTACACTGATAAGAATCAGAATTTGTTGGTAAATTATATACAATGATGTCTTGCCACCTGTGGAACACGCACCTGCTTGCAGATCCAATTTCCCCGTTCCCCGGCATTCCCTGGTATCTCTCTCCTAAATCTGGTCCAGGGGACCCCTGGAAGAGATTTGGGGCATATGCAATGAGGGCTGCACTGGAGAAGAAGGAAAGGGAAACTCCTCATACTGGGCCCCGTCAGTCCACCTTAAGACACATATTTGTTAAAAATTCCATTCTGCTTCCATACTGATGCTTCTGAAATCAAGCAAGCAAACAAACAAGCAATCCTCTGCTGCTGTATTTAAGTTTTTAAAAAACATTTGGAGATCTAATCAGGGACTTAATATTAAATTAATATTTAATTTTGCTCTCAAAATGTGACTGTAGGCCATTCAATATCTCTCATTTTGTTGAGTGATGAACAAACATGATAAGCTCATATGTACAGTTCTGCAAATATGGAACACTCAAGAGTGGCCACAGGAGTGGAAAAGGTCAGTTTACATTCCAATCCCAAAGAAGGACAATGCCAAAGAAAGTTCAAACTACTGCACGATTGCACTCATTTCACATGCTAGCAAAGTTATGCTCAGAATCCTACAAGCTAGGCTCCAGCAGTATGTGGACCTAGAACTACAAGAAGTACAGGCAGGATTTCAAAGAGGGAAAGAAACCAGAGATCAAATTGCCAACATACGCTGGATCATGGAGAAAGCTAGAGTTCCAGAAAAACATCTACTTCTGCTTCATTGACTATGCTAAAGCTGTTGATTGTGTGGATCACAACAAATTGTGGCAAGTTCTTAAAGAGATGGGAGTACCAGACCATCTTATTTGTCTCTTGAGAAACCTATATGCAAGTCAAGAAGCAACAGTGAGAACTGGGCATGGAACCACTGATTGGTTCAAAATTGAGAAAGGAGTTCAGCAAGGCTGTATACTGTCACCCTGCCTATTTAACTTATACGCAGAGTGCATCATGAGAAAGGCGGGGCTAGATGAATCACCAGTTGGAATTAGAATTGTTGGGAGAAATATCAACAACCTCAGATACGCAGATGATACCACTCTCATGGCAGAAAGTGAAGAGGAACTAAAGAGCCTCTTGATGTGGGTGAAGGAGGAGAGCGCAAAAGTTGGCTTGAAACTCAACATTAAGAAAACTAAGATCATGGCATCCGGTCCTCCTGGCATCTCACTTCCTGGCAAATAGATGGGGAAGAAATGGAGGTAGTAGACAGCATACTAAAGAGCAGAGACATCACCCTGCCAACAAAAGTGCGTATAGTCAAGGTTATGGTTTCCCCAGTTGCAATGTATGGCTGTGACAGTTAGACCATAAGGAAGACTGAGTGCTGAAGAATTGAAGCCTTTGAATTGTGGTGCTGGTGGAGACTCCTGCGAGTCCCTTGGAGAGCAAGGCGATCAAACCGGTCAGTCCTAGAGGAGATCAACCCTGACTGCTCTTTAGAAGGCCAGATACTGAAGATGGAACTCAAATACTTTGGCCACCTAATGAGAAGGAAGGACTCCCTGGAGAAGAGCCTAATGCTGGGAACAATAGATGGCAAAAGAAGAAGGGGACAGCAGAGGATGAGGTGGCTAGAAGGAGTCACTGAAGCAGTTGGTGTGAGCTTGAGTGAACTCCAGGGGATGGTGGAGGACAGGAAGGCCTGGAGGAATGTTGTCCATGGGGTCACAATGGGTCGGACACGACTTCGCAACTAACAACAACAACAATAGTCCTGTGATTTCCAGTAAGGGTAGCATATAAGACAAACCAATCAATCAATCAATCAAATGGAAAAATTAAAAACATACGATTTAGAATGGATATTTTTTATAATTTATTTTAGGGTGAAAAAGGAGTTATAGGAGACCCTGGGCCTAGAGGACCATATGGCTTGCCTGTAAGTTACATGACACTTTTAAAAAGTACAGTTTTGAAAATTCTTGATTAAATCCTACTGTGCTTTATGACCATTCATCGCAGAGAAATGCAATTAGTTTAAGTAGTACAAGGTCACCACTCATGAGGCTATCTCTTATCTCAAATTTAGACAGATTCATACTCCCACATGCATCTGTGCTACAATAATAGAGTAGTTCTGACATAAACTAACAACAATGAGAAAAGCCAGAATTAAGGGTGACCCTTTTTGCACAGCTCCTGCCATTTCCATTCTGCTCTACATGTGTTATTACTTGTCTCGGGGCACTGGAATATAATAGCAGGAATTTAAGGCAAGAAAGGAAATCTATCAGGAGGATGTTACTTTCCTTAAAGAGCTCAAATGTCTCATCAGTACAAAAGTGTGATCAGCTTCCATTTATACAAAATATTTTGTTGTTATATTTCTTTGATTTATATTTTGGGCAAATTTGATACAGTTCCTTATTTGACACACAAAACTACAGCATCCATGTTTTATACAAAATGCCTTGGGCCAACTGATTTTGTCCTCTGTAAGTGGATGGGATAAATAACAACCATTGAAATATTGTATTATTTTTGGTTTAATGTAAGTAGCTTTCAACTCCATGCACATATATTATTATATCCAGTACAGAGTAATGTTGATAAATGCTTTACTTTGAAGAAATATTGCAACATTCAGGTTGATTTTATAGAAATAAAAATAGAAAAAAATGGGTTGGATCCTATCATTCCTTGCATGCAAGGCCTGTGATCCAGCAAGGAAACAATTTTCATCTATTTCTCTTCTTCCCTTCAGCCCCTATCATACTGTTCTGTAACATTCCCCCAAAAAGTATGCTTCACGTAAACAAATTTTTAGAGGTTGCAGAAGCCTGTGAATGGAAATCAGTAAATGGAAAATCACTTTCCCACTCCATTAGCAGGTGCCAGGAGCACTCTTTCTGTGAACAAAACTCTGATAAAATAATGCTCATAGAATTCGAGGATCCAACCCATAATCTAAGGACTGTCCTATGCGTGACTGTATTCATTCAGTATCCTGAACAAAAAGTTGAATGTGCTGAGACATTTAATCATTTGAAAGTTTACTGTAGTCAGAGGTACCAAATATTGTGGTTACTTTTAACTTTCACATGCTTCTCTGTAACAGACACAAACTCAACCCATTTTCAGTGCCAATGGAATTGTGAGATACATAATTTGTTCCAGCTGCAAATGTACTTGTGTGTATTGAACATGTGGAGAAAAACTAAAAAATTCACTATTATCTGACATATCAAGTGCGGATGAAAATATTTCCATGGAGAATTTTTTGTACTACTGTTTTCAGAGAACAAACATGAATTTAGTTGGATTTTTCCTAAAATAGATTTGGAAAATGTACTTAGAAGAATATGCACTTAGAAGAAAATGTATTCTTCCCTCTCCATATACACCATATTACCTTGTTTACATATCAGAAAAGACATACCACGTGGAAGTTCATTAAATGTTCCTTAAGCATCCATCCACTGAAACATCTGTCGGAGGAGAGCTGCTTTAATTGAAAAAGAACTACAACCTTTTTGGTGGTCTTTCATGGGAGAAGGGCCATAGCCCAGTCATAATGTATATGCATTGCATACAGAAGGACTCAAGTTCAATCCCCAGTTTCTCCAGGTATGGCCAGGAAAGGTTCTTATGTGTTAGCCTGGAGAATGGAGCTCTGTCAGTTATTGAGTACAAATAACACAATATCTACACTCAATGTTCAGTGTAGGTTGTCATCAAACTGTGGGTTGTTGTTAAAACAAGGGTTATTGAATTGCCTGACCGAGTCAAGTTATCAAACCATGGTCATCAATCCCTAATTAATAACTGGCCAACAAATCATGGATTTTTATGAGTTATTTGTGGTCACCAAGCCATGGTTTGTTAAGGCAGGTCAGTTCAGACATCACAATAACCCTCATTTAAACTCACAGTTGAATGACAATCCACACTCAACCCATTTTCAACTCTTGAGTATGGGTTGTTGTCTGAACCTAGCCAATGTAGACAGGGCTAGATGGATGGACACCAATAATTGGATTCAATTGCAACCAGCTACAGTGGGTTGGGGCAGTTACCTTTGAGTGCCAAATTTCTGCTCCCTGTTGTTCAAACATCTTCAAGTTCCATGTCACTTAATTAAAATATTAATTCATAAATATATGTCAAGTTGTCTGATAGAGTATTTTGTGCATTTAGAATAAATGATAAATGTTTTGTAAAGAGGACAAATGAGCCTTCCTGCATGGATTTCTTATTTTCTAAATAGGTGAAAAACTACTGGCCCCTACATACAAAAACCCAAAATATCAATTATACATGCTCAAGCAGCACTTTCTGAATCATTGCACAAACAAGATCCGAAATCAAACTGGCTGGCCAAACATGTACATCTAATTGCAAATATTTTGAGATTATAATTTAAGCATTTTTTCCTCAGCCTGCCCAAAATCTTAGTGCAGTCCTAGATGGGATTTGTCTCTTTATGAGCATTGATCTTGCAAATATGCCTACACATGGTTTTTAAGCTCCTGGATAATTTCAATGCTTCCAAACAAAGTCCCAGCAAGTCTATAATTTCAATATAAAAAGGCAATCAGGAGACACAGTGTATATTAGAATACATTGCACATCCAATTCCCAGACATAAGAACCACCTGTCCACTTCCTCCCTCTCTTGTTTGGATTCAGCTTCAGTACATTGGTCCTCATCCAGCCCATTATTTATTTATTCAAAGCATGCTTGTCCTGTTTTTCAGTCAAACAGCTTACAAAAATCAGTGCTTAGACAATCTTGGCCCTCAGATTTATGAAGTGAAAAACCCCCACAAGAATCAGCACTTTGGATTGTGCCTGGAAACAGACTGAAATCTCTGAAGCTTTTCAAACACTGGAGCTAGAGGTATTTTTGCAGATGGCCCTATTAACTGCTTTGTGACTCTTTCTGAGTGATCTTCATTGGCAGACCTGTATACAAGCCATTATAATAATCTGATCTGTGGTTAAGATCAGTAGGTAACAGTGATGGATAAGAGGTGATTCATGCCACGGCTGCTATTTGGATCTCCAGTTCGTATGAGTGATCAGTGGGTGCCTAATGTGGAAGAGATGTAACTCCATTCAGAACAAGTGGAATATCACAACTCAGAGAGGGCAAAACACCCACCAACAATGCACATACTTCTAAAGGTGAAGTTTTAGTAGAATGACCTTCACTCAGCCTGTTGCTAATCACAGAAAGCATTAGCAATTCCACCACCGCATCTGACTCAGATGATTCAGTTGGGTTGTACGCTATACTTAATGTCCATTGGACAGTGTCCTATTTCAACATGATTGTCCTTCATTCAGAAAGCTTTTGTACCTCATTGTTAAACCAGTCCCAAAGATCCAGGTGCACACCTGTGTTGTATACACAGTACAGTTGCTGCACATCTGAATAATTCTGGAAGGTATCTTACACAACCTGAGCTTATAGTCACAAAGCTTAACACAATTAATATGGTTCTTTAATAGGGCAAAGATGGTGAACCTGGCCTTGATGTAAGTAATATATATCATCCATTTATTTGTGTGGTAGGTAAAGATTTGTTTCAAGTACTAGTTGCATGCTTGGCGCATGTTCCCCCATTTGGTGTGCATGACAATCATGCAGAGTATATACTAAACATTGCATTGTTGTATGATTTTAAATAATGATAGAATAAGAGAATTAATAACATTTGGGAGTGTGAAGAGAACACTGCTAAGAAAGCAGTCTTGTAAACCCCACCTTAAATAGTGCCACTAATAAGTGCCTGCAGCAACTAGTGCTAATTAGAACACATGATTGATGTCTGTGAAAATTGCTAGTATACTTCTGTGCAAGCAGATATATTTTATCTGAGGAAGCCTTCATGGGTAGTCAGTGGTGCTTGGAAAATGCAACCAGATGAAGTTTGTACCACAAGACACTCCTTTTGATGTAGCACTTCCTACAAGATTCTTTTACCATGCAAGCACAATTCTCAGAAAGGGAAAGGTTTGTGTCAGGTTAAAATAGTTGAAATACCATGAGAAGTTGTCTTACCCAAACACATTACTGTAGGCAGCACCCACACAGTCCTGTTTCCAAGCTTTTGGAGCACACTGATTGCATGTGTTGATTGCAACCAAATGTATTTCTTAACAGAAGTTGCAATTGGACATTCCATGTTCCACAATTTCCTTTGCAGTGAGAGAGGATAACTTTTGCTCTTTCATCCCTGTGTTCAGTGCCAGTGACCCCCCTATTGAAGCATTTCCTTTGGACATTGCTAGTGCTTGGCTGCATGTAGGAATAGGGGTGACTTTTGATCTATCTGGGAATTTCAGTATTGCTATCTTGCTGAAAATTATAGCCTTGTAAAATTCCACCATGCTCGGTGCAACATTCTGGGTGTGTGTGCGTATGTGTGCATATAATTCAGTTATCCTACTACTAACAACAACAACAACAATAAAAGCCCACATATCAATATACAGAAGCCAATAGAGGTATTTTTGTTTTTTATAGGGCTTCCCTGGTCCTCGTGGAGAAAAGGGTGATGTAGGAGAGAAGGGAGAAAAGGTGACCTCAATACTATTAACCATTGTTTGATTACTTAGCCTAGTCAGCTTTTCTGTCCCAGTCCTATAATTTGTCCCATTAAGCTTGACTTTTCTTCCTTCTGTGTGCCAAAAGTCATGTCACAGATCTTTGCTAGACAAAGTCATCTGTCAGAATGTGAAACAAAGCTTCCACCCAGATCCAGAAAGGTCAGCAGTTTCCATAATGGGAGAGGAAAGGCTTTCTCCTCCAAGACTCCTGGCAGTCTGTGTTTGTTTATATAGCAGTTACTGACAAGAGACATTGGAGTAGCAACAAGGTAGGAGACAGTGGGCCAGATTGACAGCTTGTGTAAATCAATATAGGTCCATTGACTTCAATTAAATGTGTGCTGTATTTATATCTTGTAAGTGTCTGGCTCATTGCTGAGAAGATGAAAGCTCAACTAAGAACACTTTGAGTTCATCCAGAGAAAGTTTGGCTCATTTGTGCCCTCTTGAAAATGATGGCTGTGCACAGTTAAGCATTTAATCTTGTTCAAGTAACTTCAGCGTGCCTGTTGTAGGATTGGTCTCATGTGCCACAGTTCAGCTTCTTCTGGCAAGTGCAGGAGCTCTTCGGCATGTATAAGCTCTTTTCTGCACTTCTTTACTTATATTTTCAGTACACCTGCAATGCTGGGAATGTGGCAGCTCTGATATGCTCTCAGAACTCTTGCATTTCTCCATGGGCAGGATTGAAAGAACAAGGTTTGAAAAATTAAGAAGATGAGCAAAGGGATATTGTAAACGTAGCCTTCCACCTAGTACTCATGGAAGAGTCTTCACACCATTGCCATGGTGTGGGTTCTGCTGTTGGCCCTGCACCCACAATCATACAGCATCTCTTGCCCTTCCTCCATGTCTATTTGTTATGGTGGGTTAGGGAGAGGAGAACCAGCATGTGCAAATTTGCCCAGGAGCTGGAAGCCTGCCCTGTCAGGATCCATTTTCAGGGAGACGTGCACACATAGATGTTTACAAGTAGCCTTTTCCCCTGTGGGTATCTCCAGCTAATAAATGAACACTGGGGACGGAGGATGCCATGAACCTTGGAAATGGAGCTAGCAACACAGCTCCACTCCTCTATTCATGTAGAAGCAATGTTGCAAGATAAATCTAATAGTCACTGGGAGGCTGCACAGAGAGAAAAGATGGTTTAGGACTTTGATTCAGAACTTTGGACTGTTACCACACTCTGAATCAGAGTTGAGACTGTGAAACCTTACTTGGGTTCATTTTTCTATAGCTGCCAATGTTTTCTCCATAGATTGGAAATCAGTTTTTGTTAATGTGTTTATTGTTTGGTAGAACTGAGTGAAATTTGGTGACAATTGGCAAATTTCACAGGCAATAAACCTATGAAGTATAGGTGTCTGAGGGAAATTAAAGGCAATGCCTATACCATTTTAAAACTTATGTTTGAATGATATTTGGAGGCATGGTATGTGTCCCTTCTGAAGAAATGAAGGCAATTATTTTTCAGACAAACAGGTGTAGGGGATTTTAAATTTGAATTTTAAAATTGTATTTGCTTGTTGTGGAGGAGAATTGGTCTGGATGCTTAAGAAAATGAAAAGAGACATGCTAGATCAGACTGTCTATCTAGTCCAGCATTTTGTTCATATTTTGGCCAGACCAGCTGCCCATAGGAAACCCACAAGCAAAATATGAATACAACTGATGTACACAGCAGAATGCCTGTTCACATACAGCCATCTGGACTACGAGCTGTTGACAGCCTTATCTTCCTTTAATTTGCCTAATTCCCTTCTAAACCTGTCCAAACTGATGGCTATCACTTTTGTTGAATCCTTAGTAGGGATGGAAGAATGAGCAGTGTTCGAGCTAGTTGAGGTTCTCCATTTTCCACCCCAATGCTTTTTTAAACTTTTTTTTCCAAAAGAAAACAAATAAAGTTTATTTGATTTTCTTTTACATGTTTCCAAGCATGTACCTTAAAATGTGCACTTTCCTCACTTATAGGTTAAGGATGGAACTATATGGAGAAGCAAATGTACATTTTCAGAACTGCACACTTTGATAGGTGAATGTTTTGGAACTGTGCATATTTTAATGCAAATATAACTGAGGAAAAAACTTCTTAAGAATTATTCTTCTGTTTCCATATTTTGTTGTTACCAAGACATGTCCATATGATTAGTGTACATCTCTGCTTCTTATTTCTTCTAGCAACCTTCTCAGAAACTGTGCAGGAGGCATTAGATTTGCCACATTCATTCTTAATGGAGTGCAACTCTTACACTTTATTGAAATATATGAAAGTGTACACAGATGTAATACCCACATTGGTACATTCTTGGTTATGGTTAAGATAAATCAAAGGTGTCCTTCCTTTGGTCTCCGTAGGCAGGAGTGGAGTTCTACCACCAGTAGAGAGCTCTTCTATATCTACAGAAAGGTTCGAAACAGATCAAATTGGCCTTACAAAGTAAAAGTCAATCTCCAAAGCCCAAAGGCAGGTCTGAAGTTCTCGTATGAACCCACTTCAGTTTGAACTGTTTCACACCAGAGTTGTCTAAGTATGGAAACTGCCCCATAAAGTAGACAATTTCTGTGATAAATATTAACATTAAAGTGGGAAAAATAACAGATTAAGAGAAGAGTTACTAAAATCAAACTATCCATATTAGTCTTCTGGGTATGAAAAACTGGCTTAATAGCTCAGCTTATCCTGTTGTCATTTTGTAATACTTGAATTTCTTATCAGAACCATTTATTCGTAGAATTATGCCATTAAGTTTATTTCGTCAGACCATAATTCATGTATTCAAGTCAATGAGCTTGTTTGTATAACACAGCAACTAACTGTGGTTTAATTTACCTGTGTGGGCTGTTGTGTCATGCAAACCCATTTAGCTGCAGATGGTATGGCACCCATGGGCGCCCAGTTTGTCTTGGTTGGTTGTGTTGTGCAAAGTCAAGGAGCAGGGGTGTGTTTGAGATTAGGCAGTCCTCAAGTAATGCTTAAACAGCCATGGATTGTTGAATGTTTATTCAACTTTGACACAATCACTGCCACCTGGCTTCATGTGATGCAAGCAGCCATGGCAAGTAGGGTATTTTGGCCACCCATCATGGCATGAGAGCCCCGCAAGGCAAGGAAGCCACAGTGACTTGTGATGTCATGTGAGCCAGGTCAATGATTTAAAACAGCAGGTTTTATTTATTTATTATTTTATTTATTAAAACATTTTTATGCCGCCCCATTCGCCGAAGCCTCGGGGCGGCTTACAACATAGATAAAACAATAAGTTAAAATATCCATATAAAATAATCTTAATTAAAACACACATTATAAAATAAGCCGCCCTGGCCAGATAAAATTCAATTGTATTTAGCATTTAAAATGTTGCTTAAATAAAAAGGTCTTAGCCTGGCGCCGAAAAACAAATAACGACGGCGCCAGGCGGACCTCTCTGGGGAGCGCATTCCATAACTTAGGCGCCACCGCTGAGAAAGCCCTTCTCCGAGTAGCCACCCTCCTAATTTCTCTCACGGAGGGCTCCCGGAGAAGGGCCTCTCCCGCCGATCTCAGGGGGCGACTGGGCAAATATGGATGTAAGCGCTCCTTCAGGTAACCAGGACCCAAGCCGTTTAGGGCTTTATAGGTCATTACCAACACCTTGAATTGGGCCCGGACTTCAATGGGGAGCCAGTGAAGCTGACGGAGAACTGGCGTCATGTGAACATAACGTCCAGTCCCCGTCAGCAGCCTGGCAGCTCTATTCTGAACCAATTGAAGTATCCGGACCGTCTTCAAGGGTAGCCCCACGTAGAGCGCGTTACAGAAGTCAAGACGGGAAGTCACCAGCGCATGAGTCACTGTTGCAAGGCAGTCGTACTCCAGGTAGGGGCGCAGCTGATGAATCAGCCGAAGCTGGAGGAAAGCGCTCCTCGCCGCTGTTGTCACCTGAGCTTCAAGTGAAAGCTCCGGGTCAAGGAGCACTCCCAAGCTGCGGACCTTGTCCCTAGGAGGCAGTGCAACCCCGTTCAGGACAAGGTTCAGGTCACCTTCTCCGAAGCCCGAACCGCCAACCAACAGGACCTCCGTCTTGTCTGGATTGAGCTTCAGTTTATTGGCCCTCGTCCAGCCCATTACCTCGGCCAGGCACCGGTTCAGTACAGCCACTGCCTCACCTGGATTGGTGGAAAACGAGAGGTAGAGCTGGGTATCATCAGCATACTGATGGGTCCGCAGCCCACACCTCCTGATGACCTCTCCCAGCGGTTTCATGTAGATATTGAACAGTAAAGGGGACAAAATGGAACCCTGCGCAGAGCCATAGTCCCCCAACACCACCTTCTGGAATCGGTCGTTGAGATAGGAGCGGAACCACCGCAAAGCGGTGCCTCCAACCCCCAATCCCGCCAGCCTATCCAGAAGGATACCATGGTCGATGGTATCGAAAGCCGCTGAGAGGTCCAGGAGAACCAACAGGGACGCACTCCCCCTGTCTTCTCCCTGCACAGGTCATCGTACAGGGCGACCAAGGCAGATTCAGTACCGTACCCGGGTCTGAAGCCGGACTGAAATGGGTCCAGATAATCAGTTTCATCCAAGAGTGCTTGGAGTTGTCCCGCCACCACTCGCTCTAACACCTTGCCCAGAAACGGGATGTTGGCCACTGGTCTATAGTTAGCGGCCATCCCTGGATCCAGTGACGCCTTCTTCAGGACCGGTCGAACTACCGCCTCCTTTAAAGGGGCAGGCACCCGACCCTCCCTCAGAGAAGCATTAACCACTTCCAAGATCCAGGTTCCAATCCCGTGCTTGGAATCCTTTATTAACCAAGACGGGCAAGGGTCCAAAAGGCAAGTGGTAGGACGTACTCATCCAAGCACCTTGTCCACATCATCGGGCCGCAATAACTGAAATTCATCCAATAATTCTGGACCAGACGGCAGCGTTGGTGTCTCCCT